ACACCTCGTTGACTGAAATCGCCAAACGCTAGTGCAACGGCTGATTAGGCTCGAAACAATTCAGGAATTGAGAAACTTCTTCATGACCTAAATATACACTTTCTTTGAGTATAAAATGGAAATACAGTGAGATTTTCTACCAAACGGGTAAAATGAAGGACACTTTTACGCCTTTTTCTATAAAAAATATTTTAATTTATAACACCATCGAAAACAAATGTTAAAAACGCAGGCCACCTATGTAGTCATTTTTTCCCCAGTCTGGATTCTGAAGGAGGTCGACAAGAAGTGCGTCCAGAAACCAACATCCTGCCGAGTTCAAAATATTGTAGGATTATGCTGCACGGCAATCAGTATTGCAACCTTACCTAAGTAATCCTTCCTAATCGAAAACGCATTTCAGAATTCATCCAATATTTCATGAGATCGGTCACGCACTGCATCATGCGGCAGCGTGAAATCTTGTCGGATACAACGAGGTTTGTAACCTAATCCACACATACACAATATATGCAAACATATGGTAGGTCTCCTTACGTATTCCATTTAGAAGCGTCGGAGCGAGGCTTATAAACCAGTCCATCCAGCGGCGTCTGATGCGTTGAAGAGAGATTCCCTGCATATGCCTGAGGGGTTATGATAGAGTCCTAAACGAGATTACATGGGATTATTATCTTCCTGATGAACAGATCACCAGGCGCGTACACGCTTAGTTGTCAGCTCATCACAGCTTTTGTTATGCAATCCAGTGACCGGATGTTCGGCGAGTATATTAATTTCTACTATTTTTGTAGGTAGACGAATTGGCTCAGCGCAGATCAGTTTGAGAGCGTCTTTAGGCGGTTATCCCCAAATCCATACCTCCGGAAGTTCTCTTCATCTTATATTCCATGTTACGAAAAAATGCGTCAATTCGATTGATTGTTTACCGCTAGCATTTTAAAATATCATCAAAGGGGCTTCAGTGCATACAGGGAGATACAACAGCCCCAGAGGCCCGTTGTTATCCTGTCTCGTATTAAGCCTGGTTCGACGCGCGAATTTCGACTTGCCTGTTTGCCGCTGACTAGATTTGATCTCTCCGAGCTTGATAGCTCGCGGACTCGTGTGACATTTTACCTTTGCGGCCGTCGCAGTTGCAGTCAAGTCAACGTGCTAACTGACGCCTCCTCGTCGATCGCGGACTGACCAAACTTTGCTGCTCGTGAGAGTTGCTTTCTGCCTTGTGAGCGCGTCGGTGAGACAGAGTAAATACATCAGCGAAAAATCAAAATCCGCTTTTTAACAACCAGATTTTCTCCGTTTGAGTGTTTCATTGCTAAACCTTGGGGTGGGTTTCCTCCAGTTTGACTTTATGCTTTATGAACGATAACAATCTGTCGTAGGCAGTGTGTCAGGCTAGTGTAATGGGAAACATTCAAAACAGTACTCTCCTTAGGACTTGAAAAACTCATTTTTTACCATTGTCCACACGTAGCACATTTATCTTTGACCGAATCAGTTGTTATTTTTGACTAACAAATCCCATAGAGACTATAAGCCCTGTATCAATGAGACCTGCTCTGAGGGACCCAATGATTTTAGCATGCTTGCCAGGAGCAAACACATATTTCGAAAAGCATTATTCATTTCTTTGCCTAAGTACTAGGCATAAATGACGCTGGTTGGAAGTAGAAAACTTTATTGACACTTTTTCTAACAGACAACACAGACTGGTGTCTATAGAACACATTTCTACACTGAACTCCGCGGTATGATTTCATCACTTTGCAGTCTCGTGAAAAAATTCGTTGCATATTTTCGTGTTCTTCTGTGTCAAAATTAAAATTAATGAGCTTTATCTGTGCAAAATGTGCATTCTCAACTGTCTTGACCATATATTAGACAAATTTACATATCTAGGATCTTTGCGGGAGACCTTTGACACCGGAGCGCGTAAAGAATGCCCATTTGGTCACATTAAAATGTGCGACTGCTTACGGAACGTATGGTTACGCAGTTTTCGTTAATTGTTCATGTATGCCCCTCAATAATCGCGACATCCAGGTCGTTTTATCGCCTTAAGAAAGCATTAAATCTTTCGCACTTACTACTACGATTTATAAATGACTAATGTTGGAGGAATCCCAAGAAGAAATTCTTTTCGCCTGCCTCTTACTAGTTTCGAACGCATCATTTGCATTTCCTGTATTCCAGATGGTAGTAATTTCTATTGGCAAGAAAGCTAGTTGGCTAGCGGTTGGCTACCTGACGAAACTGCTTCCCATTTTCCTTCAGATTTTGCGCGTGTTAACTGACTAATTATAATCATCGAATTTCTTTAAAGCAGTCGTGTTTCCCGCTTAGATTAGCTTGGCTTCAGCAATAAAAGACATTGTGAGTTAAATTTTTAAAGATTGGGCAAGCTTCTCTGGCAGCACGTTTGTTCGTTGAGATTTTACATCTGTAGCTGGCAAGTCCAATGGTCCATAATCTAGCTGGCCTCGATTTTGTTAACGCTGATATTTCTCATTAACTTTGGGAAATTACTTTGCTTATGTACCATTGTTGTTTTGTGAAATAGTAGAAGGCTCGATATCGATTAACTATGTCCTGCAGTTTTCTACAAATAGCGACGGCGAAAAAAGTAAAGCGCTTTTTTTAAAAGTTTTCTGCCGACCCGCAAAGTAATAGCATGGCTACCCGTTCACGCTCACCGTTTTTTCCGATGAAGTTTCCTTTCCGACGAGAGGTCGAGCCGACCTATAAGGGTTGGACGGAATCAACCGACGAGACTGAGAAGAGCGTTTAGCACGTTCCGAAGTAATTTTAGTGGATGTTTCTGCCTTTTCCCTCATTGTCTCCTAACAGTGCCGATTACAGGTTAGCAAGTGTAAGAGATCCGGGTCGATAATCTGAGAAAACTGAAGTGCTCACCGGATCGAGGGAATTGTTTGGCTGACGTGTCGAAGAGCTTGGGCGGCTCTCCAGTATCAAAGCGTCGAGTGCAAAAATAGATTTTGGAGATAATGGAGAGCCGCCCAAGCTCCTCGAAACGTCAGCCAAACAATTCACTCGATCCGGTGAGCACTTTGAGAAGCAATTTCCTTCAAAGACAGCAGAAGGACTTGTGTTCACTCAGCCGCCTATTTCGGCGTAAACAAAACATGACCGCATACCTTGGAGGGCAAATTTAAAGCTGTCTCGGGTCATTTGATGTTTCGGAATGCGGGGATCTTAATATGATCGGTGGAATTTACCTGGAAATGTTTTCCGTATAATTACCCAAGTTCAACTGCAATCAGGTGATTGAGTAAAATGGCCTGATAGGAGTCGTGCCATCCGACGGCTGACAAATTCTCGTTAACTTTAAACTTCTCTGAAGCCAAAGAACGGCCAGCGGCTGAATTAAAATTTTAAGTTAGTTCTTCCACCAGGTTTTACAGTTCACATTACCTACGTTTCCTACAGCAAGGCCTTCATCTCACTGAATACGAATGTTTCGCAATTAACATCTTGTGTAGTAAATCGTGTCAAATCCAAAACTAGAGCATAGACAAAATAGCAGTAGACAATCTGGAAAAAGATATGCCAAGGTTGGGCAGATCCTACAAGCTGACGCGAAAGCTCACTGTCTCAAAAATCAGGCAATATAGTGGTTTTACAAGTTAGCGATAAGTAAATAAAGTAATCTAGCATTATTATTTCAAACATGGAACAGTATTCATGCTTTCCAACATCTTCATACGAACTGCGAAATTTGGTGGCTGTGTTTTTGAGCTAGACCCTAGTCAGCATCTAAACACTTCTCAGTCCCAGAGTGTCGAAGCTTGGGATGCCGGAGAGCTGATAATCAAGCCCTCTAACTTCGGCTATCTATCGTTTCTTGACCTCATAAGGGCCTGCTTACAGCTGGTGAGATGGTTGTCAGTTTCATTTTATGAGGACATATGTAAGTATTGCGACTGTTTCGGAAATAACCAAGTTTCTGATAATACACTGAAATGGAAACAACTAGTACTCAGATGCGTTTTCTTATCCAGTAGCTATCACTTAAATTAGTGCCTTGGTGAGGTTGTAAGTTCCGGCAGCTTCTCTGCGAACGCTAAATTTCCGCTGACAAACACCCGCATATACAGTCAGCGTGTATTGACTATGAGACTAAAGGATGCGACCCTAGACCGGTGGTTCAAAGCTAAGTTGAAAGTCCAAAGTCCGTCCTGTTGTAATCAGTCCAGTTAGGTGGACGTCAGCACCACGCGGGTTTACACGACTGTGATTCTTCATGACCTTGCATGACAGTTCCTGTCTGCCAACTACTGCTGCGTGCTCAAACCGGTTGGGCGCTCCGCTATGGGCTATCGTAAAATGGGAATCAGATAGGCAGCTCAAGGAGAATATTTCGACGCCGGATTCCACGTATGCAGAAAACATTGAGGACGCATTAACATCTGTTACTTGACGGCCAACGCACTGGATATGGCACATTAAGGTTGGATAACTTTGCTCAGTTTCTTTCACAGAACCGTTTTATTAGTTGTTTATGATCATTGTTCGGTGTCTCTTTGGGGGGTTCGGCCCCAATCCCAAAAAATTCCCATTTGTAATCTAAATTTTGAATGCTTTGAAAAACAAAGTAGCCTATGCTATTTGTTGTTTTTGTTTTTGTGGGCGCTCGGAAAATATGAAAGAAAATTCGCAAGCGCTGATGCATGGGTGTACGCGTGCTTTGTTTATACTTACGAGCCAATACAGTGCACAGTTTCGCTCATGTTGAACCCAAACCGAGTCGACAAGACGCCGACGGTGCACTTAACGGGCCTCGTTCAAGGGCTTATGACAGGCTCCGACTGCATATGCTGTCAGAGGTGCTGGTGTTGCTCATTCACTCCGTGATACACCAACTGTGAAGTCTAAATCTGACAGCGTGAAAGATAAACCTACAGTGAAGTGCAAATCATCACCTTAACCAGGGTTAATTTGACTTGAAGAATGGAGGATACCCATCCGTCCACAAAGGAATGATTGCAACGCTGTTCGCGATTTTGCTAGTCCTTCTGTCAAAGGTCGCTTTCTGTGCCACTGCTTCAAACGAGGTAGGTTGGAACAGTTTGTGAGCTTTGTGTGGTCTACTGCGATAATTCATGCGAATAGTTCGAAGTGCAATACTATAGACAATTAAACATATGTCATGATCTTTCTTCCTCCTACAGATCTCAAACTACTATGGGCAATTACTACTTAGAAAACGCTGCTGTCTCTAAGGCATTTAACAAAAGAGTGGAACCTATGAGCATAAGTCATTAAGTAGATTGAATTTCTTCTTTATCACCAGACGACTAGGACGCTCCTTATTCTATTGAAAAAGTTCGTTTACAGTTCAAAGTCTTCTTGGTATGCACGTTTAATCTGTATTCAGGTGTATTATTCTATAGGACAAGGAAAGTTAAGCAAAATGCGCATTCGAATCATGAAATAAGACGAAAATAGCTGGTGTAAGAGATTTGCTCACGGGTTTGATTATAATGAGAATTATACTCGTCAATGCAGCACCCTCGAAGACAGTCGCATAGCAACAAGTACTAAAGTAGGATAAATACTGTGATAGAGTCGGAAGACTGTCGAGGTGTTTCCGACTTATTATCGATCGCCAGCCAGACATTAATGAAACCCAGATTTGGATTGGCCAGACCCCTTAGGGACCAAATCTTAAGTGAAAGAGGAAGGACGAGGAGGAAAAAGAGCCTGTAACATGAAGACTCGAGGGCTGGTTGTCCTGTAGATTGTATGCCGCCAATACAAAGTTGGGGTGAGAAGCTGGCCGATTGGGATGGTTGGAGCAGGGATAATGATTGCGAAGTTGAGCCTTAGAGCCCTGGCATACAGTCACATAGCAGCCTTTAATAATGCCTGTAAGGGCTTTAGACTGTGGCCCATGGTACAGGGCCATGAGCTGGTTTCTTGCAGTAGTCGGATCGGCAAACGGTTCTCCCGTGTTACGTTCCCTGTCCCGACCGACAGAACAACAGGCCCGTGACCTAGCATTGGATCTTTGAACTCAACGCTCAACTATTAAATTTTCCAGGTTCTGTTTCTGGATTGCTCAGATTCCGACTGAGGAACTGCGCAATCAGCAACAAGCGCAATGAACTCCCGGTGCCATATTCGGTGCTGAGACATTTCCTAAGGAGGAGAATTAGTCACGTGGGGAGGGCGCGGACGAGCAACAATCTCGGTGACAGCGAGCCAAATTGCCGAACCATCATCATGCTAACATCCAACATGCATGATTAAATTGAGGCAATTAAGGACTCGGACCCGGACTGGCGAGCCATCATCGTTTCATTTACGATACCCAGCGGTGGTCGCGAGGGCAGTTGATCATAGTACCCATGTGTCCCCATGGCAACTACGTACTATATATATTGCAGTCCTTGTGCCTCCACTACCTTTATCTGCAACGGCCTATGATGATATGTTGGAGTGAGAATCCGAAACGTCAGGGCAATAAACTTCATGTTCCACCGAACGCATCTTCTTCTTCTGAACTGCTTCATGGAACTCGACTACTCGTTCCATTGGTACGGTTGACCGAAAACGGCTAATAAGCCCGAAGTGACCGTCCTAATTTCCCTCTGCTGGTATCTATTTAGAGAAGGGCTAGATAGTTTGGTAAATAAATTGTAGCCTTCCATAATTGTGGGAGTAGCTGAACAGCACGGTCAAATAGGAAATCGGCCCGTCAATTTGGATTCTTACTCCAACCTATCATCATAGGCAGTTGCAGATAAAGATAGTGGAGGCACAAGGACTGCAATATATATAGTACGTAGTTGCCATGGGGCCACATGGGTACTATGATCAACTGCTCTCGTGACCACCGCTGGGGGTCGTAAATGAAGCGATGATGGCTCGCCAGTCCGGGCTCGAGTCCTTAATTGCATTTCAAGAGGCAATTTGGCGAGCACACGTCTGCTTTCGATAGATTCTCTTCAGGTCTGTGCATTTATATGGCTATTGAGGTAATGAATTAAAGAATACGGGCAAGTAGATAATTAAGCTGTTGCTTGGGTTTGTGGAGGGGAGGGGAGGTGAGGGGGAGAATGAAACACCACAATTACAGTCAGCGTCAGGGAGAAGGCTGGCCCCGGCGAAGGTAATTACCTGCGGGTAGCTGGCTTGGTGGCTTTGAACCATGGCGACTGTGGGACCTGTATGAAGTTCTTCTGTGCGCATAGGACCAGTCCTCGTAGCCTGATCGCACCCGCCTCTGCCGTAGCCAAAAAGCGCTTCCCAAGTAGTTTTGGATAGCTTGATGAGACCTTGTAAATCACTCTGAAGGCCTCTTTGGTGTCTACACGGTGGTCTGTGTCCACCATGTGCGCGAGGATCGAGCTGTTGAGGTTCTTTATTTGACCCTTTCCTAACCATGCTGGAAGATGTTCTTTTATTTTTTTGGATAAACGTCGGCTCGTGCGACCAATATATTCTGTCCCACAGGAGCAGGTGAAGGAGTAAATACACATAGAGGTGGTCTGAGCTGGTAGTTTGTCTTTGCCCTCTCCGCATAGAATGGGACTGGTGGAGAACCGTACACGGGTGTCGGCTGCTGGAAAGGTCTGTGGTACAGCTTGAGTTAGGCGTCATCGTTAAAGTTCACTTGGTGCATCCCCTTGAAATGGGACCCTGAGTATGAATTTGGTCGTTTGTGCCCTCTAAAAGAGGAAATAAGTGCACACTGACGTCTCTTAATCCCTGGAAGCACTGCGGCAATCCGATTTGGTGGAGGGAAGCGCGTACCCGTGGTTGAAGTAAAATAACAAAGAATCCGATGAATGCATGGGTGTTGAAAGTGTGTAATTTTGACATTTTGTCCTTCGCTTTAACGTAGATTTAGCCAATTACTAGAGTTGAAACTCCGACTTATACTTCCTATTAGACACAACTTACCTGCGTCAGGCAAGATGCGCAGAATGATTGTAACACAGGCTTCGATTTTTTGGCTACTGCATATGCTAGAATTTGAGTAAATGAGGTAATATTTACATACTACTAGCTGCATGTCTATAGGACGTAAACACTACGCGGTTACTCTGTCGATGTTAATGGATCTCGTATTGGACAGCCATATAAACTTGTGGGTCGAGGTTAATAAGTTTCGTGTCAAAGGACTCATTTCAGGTCCACGTACTAATTTCTGCGCAAGTTAAAAGATTAGCACTAGTTACTGGAGAATATATCAGAAAACACGCGAGAAACACTGGCTGGCCTATTGATGAGCCGAACCCCTGATAGCAGAACCATGCAGCAGCCAGAGATCGAAGAAGCAAGCTTCCGGCTAGCATCTGCGCCTGGAGTCTGGCAAATCGATCATTATTAATACTGTCAGATATTTTCTGCGCAAATTCGGCCGGTTAATTGGAATAAGCTATCCTACGAGCGAGTCGGGGAAATGCCAAGCAGGCAAATGTCTGATCTCAGTAATTTCTTCTAATGTAAATACAGTAATGATATGGCTCGTTGTGCATTGTGCGAACAGCTATCGCAAACTTGGAGAAGTTCGTCATTTCGCATAGGATGGAGATATTGCCCACAGGAAGCAAAGTTCGGAGTATGTAGAAATCTTCCTACAGAGGAGTCATCAACTCCGAGAGTGGAGGGATTGTTTTGCGGCTGAATTTTTTTTGCTGAATTCTACTTATAGAGGCCTTCCTAGCCCCATCAACAAATAGCGGCGAATTTATGCGATAAACTTATTTTGGCCATTGAACTGGACATAGTGAATATCGAGTACTGAAGCATGCTAAAGGTGTTCTTTTTAACAGCCGGAATGGGTATCCAAGTGGTTATGTATGCTTAAATTATTAACTGTCCTGCCTTTGCAAGTAACTTAAGCGGAGCTTCGAGGCAATTCTGGCGATGTTTTCGAACCACAGATACAAAGTTACAAATTTATGTTAAAGTGAGATTTATGAGTCTTTTCAATCTATGCACAGCACACGAAGCTTAAACGTTTCTTCAGATTTTCTTTTTTATTCCTCATGTAGTTCATTGCGGATCTGTTTTTGACGCTGAAATATTCGAATCCAGAAAATACTTTAGAAGACAATAACCCATGCGATCTTTGGATCACCGACTTGAAGTGTGATGTGTATTTCGAAGTCTGTGTGAGCTCCGATGCAAACCGGTGAGATATTCCTAATTTAAATTCATTTTGCGCAAATGTAAGCCGCATTTAAAATTACCGACGATTAGCAAATAATCCAACCGCAGTACTTAAATTTACTCCACTTTTTTAGAAATGTGTAGCATGTCCTCTGATATAGGTAGTTCGCAGAGCTTAAAAACGTAACTTATAAACAGCAATAACACCTTGATTTGGCAGCCGGCTTCAATAGACACCGAGGTTTGCTTTGAGCTTGATGGTAAACAGATTGTTTAACAGAAAGTAAAACTCTCTATTTATTTAGAAGAGCCTTTTTAGGATTGCAACTGAGAGTTTACTTGAATTAATGCCTTGTACAGAGACTGCGACGTTCTGAAAAAGAGTACGGAAATATTTTTGGATCAAGATCAAATAGAACTGGCCAATAATGGAAGGATAGTTATCCCAATTCGATCATCACTGCCGGTATGTTTGACACGGTTTTCGTCCTTTAAACTGATAAGAAAATGAACGTGTTTTTAGATGATGATCCAGCTGAAACACAATGTCACTTTTAGAACTAAAGGACTCTTGATTTGGTTGCTGGGAATTAAACATACCCAGAAGAGATCCCACCGGTCCGAATACTGATAATGCCATGAACTTAGAAAGGTCGACATTTCAGAATGCTGGCAAACATATACTCTCGGTAACTCATTATCATGCCTATACAAATGCATGGAAATTGAAAATATTAGGCGTTCACAGGGTTGATAAGTGCCTCAGGGCTTATTAACACACATCGTTAAAGCAGTACTTCAGCAGCTGCGAAACATACTTCGGGAAAACTGATACTTAGAGAGATTTATCCTCCGGAATATTAGGGGGCCCTGCAAAGCCTGCCGCAGCAAATAAAAAAGTCTTGTTTATAAGACAGCCTTTTCTAGGAGACGTAACAAGTGAGCTAGTAAGACGACCTCAAAAGCCAGCGATCATTAGCGCATTTCTCGCGACGAATTTACGCGTATGTTTCACAAACTCCCCTGTGCTACTGTTGGAAGTTAAAGACTGACTACCGTGGCAGGTTGCATTGACGTCTATTTACTCATTTGTTTGCTTCTTTGGAGTTGGATATACCGGCCGTACGACGTGACGCCTGGAAAAGAGCAAACGCGAACACGTCTGCCTGGTTAGACAGAGTCGAAAAAGATCGATTTCGAGTTTTATTCCGGCGCGTCTTGTCGACAAGAATAACCGAATAGACGCCAAAGAAGCTTTTCGATTTGTCTACCGGACATCAGCCAACTCCGCTTTAAGGCCTACGCCAACGGGTGCTGGCTATAGCCGAGGACAGCGAACCCAGTGATATATTGTCAGAAGACATTGACACAGAGGCTCTGTCTTCCGCGGTCATGGCCGACCCAAGATGGTTATCGCACTGCGTCCCACCCGCCAGAAGACAGTGATGTGTACCCCACGTACCCGACTTACAAATATCACTCACAACCTATGTTATCACCTTGCCCCAAAGATCATTACATGTCGATCTTTTCATGCGGGTGGAGCGGTAACGATGAGTGTTAATAACCCCTGAGTTACTTATAAACCCTATTAACTTATACTTTCAAGTCCCATGTAACTGTACCAGCTTGATGATGAGTTACGGAGAGCAGGTGTATGGTAACTTGACTTTTTAAGTGTAACATGAGGATATTTGCAGAATTTCGAAATGCCTGGATTTGTCTGGGGACGTATTCAAATATCAGCTGTAATGCACGGGGTACTCAAACTCAAATAACCAGAGAAAACCTCAAAGCATGTTGCACTGAGTAACTACTTATGATTTTCACTCAGAAAATGACGTTATCTCTTCCATACTTCCGTACTTTTATTAAAGAATTGGGGGTTGTTTCTCAACACTACCTGCCTTTACATCACAATGAAAGGAAGCTGTATACAGTCTTTTCAGAGAACACTTCATTGAACATTTCCAGGAGCTTATTTGGATCAGGCTGAAGTGAAGTATCCTAACAGTGTCAACTAATCCCTTGTTGTGTACTTAAGTCTTGTACAGCATAAATCAGAGACCAGGCCAGAAGGAGAGAGCTCAAAAGTTATCCCATTTATTGCCTTTGCGATCAAGCGATCTGACAGAGGTTTAGTGGACCGGATCTCCGATGACTACGGTATTACCAATTTTAGGAGGATTTCAGTGTTTTTGATAGAGTAACATCACTGGCGTCTCCTGGTCAACCGGTAGTTGCTTCTGCCCCTTTAGACTAAGTATGTAGATTGGCAACTTGAACATGAGAGCAAAATTCAAACCATCCAAAGTGCCTGTAAAAAGAGTTATTTGGGGCCAGATTTTCATCCTGCGCTCCTGTCTGAGCGCGGGCCGTTGTTAATTGCCGTTGTCTGACGCGGATAGCACGGTGCTCGGTGTGTTCTGCTGTCCGCCTGGTGCGAACCGGTGCCTTTTCACTGAAGTTCCATGCTGGTCCTCGTTGGCAGTATATTGCACCCATATCTGTTTGACTCATTGAATAAAACTGAAAGACCACTATGTCATGCGGTCAGTTATCTAGTTGTTTATGATCTACTCAGACGCAATGCATGGAAAGTGCTACGAGGTACCTTAAGATCCTAAGATCAGACCCCTTGCTCTAATGAGCTATTGGTAGAGAGTCCGGAAGTGCCACTCCGTTTCATGTTAAAGAGTATTAGGAAAACAATTAAAAATTCTGTAAGCCATCTTTTGTCTTTGCGATATTCCACGTCTTTATTACCCCTAACAGAAGTCGTTGTGGATAAGTGTGGCCGCTTGGGATCACGACACAGTGTCTTCATCCGATCTCATAGGTGACTTTGAAATAGATGGCAGTCTGGAATACTTACTTGAGAAGGCACGGTCTCTTCGGCCGCGAAGAAAGCGTCACGCAAGGTGAGAGCTTCTCACGTTCTGTTATCATCTCCATAAATATTTTTACCATTCCTTAAGGCACGCTAAAAATGCAGCAGTTAAGTAGGATACAAATAAACTTCGAATAAACCAAAGGCGCTAACATCAGGGCAAACAAATATCTATCAGTCAACTAGACTAACTACTAATCCATCCGATTTTTATCTGCCTATTTTAAATAAGTAAGTTCTATAACAACACTTGATCAGGATAGCCAGATGCACTCAAACGAGGTTTAATCACTTAGAAATAAAAGTCTCGTCCTTATCCATAGAACGATTTGCGATGTTATCAAATGTCAGTGCTATTTCGGAAAGAATGTAGACAGAACTCTCTGCTTAAGATCCGCTAACCCTAACGACAACCCTAACCCTATCGGAAATCGTAAACGTATTCGTATCCCTTAGACATAGCCCTAACTGAGAAACCTAACCGTAATACTGAAACCTATTCGTACGCTCAAACCCTAACCGTAACCCGAAAACATAAGCCTTAAGGCATAACCCTAACCCGAAAATCGGAAACCATTAACCGGTACCCTAATCCTAACCTCAAACGTAAAACGGAAGCCAAATAGGTCAGATGTGATTATGGAGCCTCACAAAGTAGCCCCAGTAAACAGACCCCCCAGCCACCTGTAATACGGTGTCTGGCTCCCATCTGCGATCTAGCCAGATGATTATTTGGAAACTTATGCGTTTATCAAATTTACCACTCAAAGAAAGTTCCTATTTGACTTTTAATTCACTATACTTTGGGTTAGTGCTGCTGTTCATGAAGCACATAACAATATCTGTGTATGAGCATCAGGCAGACTCTGCACAGAGCCGCGATGTATGTAGGCAATTTTCCTGGATATACTGAATAGCATATAGTTAGCATATCTTAGAAGTAATTGCAAGCGTTTTATGTTTCCAAATGAGAAAAACAAACGCTACTCATATTAGCTGCTGTTCACAGTCAATCTTACTCTGGACAGTAGACTCCCGGCAGCCTTAATTTACCTGCAATTGCTTTCCAGCACGTTAGTCTCCTTCAAAACAGCATTTGCTATTTTGTGAGAGAGAGGGGAGGGGAAAATTACTTTAAGCTGGACAGAAGTAAATGCCTTATGCGTCTAATGACTATTCAAGTGGTGCCGCACAGTCAACTACAAAGCGATGGTGCCAATAGAGTCTGAATGACCACTTGTCCTTTATACTAAAATGTCGATAAGGCGTTTCACAGAGAACACTTTTTTTCGTTGCATATTGGATAACGATGACTTTTTGAATTTACTGCTCTCGGAGGTTACCTCATGCGTGATCATGAGAATTAAATATTTTGAACTATGTTGTGGTCCTTGTAGCCATTGTGAATCTTCGACTTTTTAGAGGTTTGCCTAACAATTTCAACAGCAATGTACTTCAGCCCACATAAGCTTCTCACTGTGAGACTGAACTAGGGAAAAATCGGTTAGTCGCATTAGTAAGCAGCTATTCTTCCATAGTTCAACGACACGGTCACCGGCGCTAGGTCGGAAAGTAGGTGGTTTATCTCCTTTCAGTAACTGAACATTTTCTCATACCTATATTTGAAAACGACAATTGCATACGAAGTTTTATGTGCTTCATCTTTTTAAATACAAGGTGTGAAGCAGAAAAATTGGCCAGACCGTAGTTGCATAGGTATTACGTTGATCTTATACTTTGGCCCTGAATATTTGCCCCTGTGGAAAAAGCTAAAGAAAACTCATGTCAACATTCGCAGGCACACAAACTTGTCCGTCACAATGTTTTGTCTTCTTCCCCAGCATGTCAATGAAATTGGAACTGCAATGCAGGAAGAATTGGTTTGGGAAATTGTGCGAGACCTACTGCAAACCCGTTGCTGACACTTTCACTTGTGACGAGAACGGCACTGCCATATGCCTGCCAGGTATGTACAATGTGGGTTCCTGAATTTTATCGATAAATACGAACAGTCGCTAAAAGGCTGCGAAAGGCAGAGGTAGGCCCCATAAGTATGACTACTAGTAAGAATCAAAATGCTAGAAAACCCGAAATTTTACTAGTCGGTTGGCCTAGGTTAATTTTTAGTTGTCTATTGAAATGTTTATGTAGTGCTTGCTGCTTGGGGAATTGCTGTCTCTCTTTTCTTTCCGCAGTCACGTACGGTCCGCAGCATAAGATGCCTACTGGCCAGAATGCACAACAACGCATTCTCGATTTTCAGGTGATTTAAATAAACAGCAAATATAATTTAACACTCAAGATGCTATCTTGGAATACATGAGAATCAATAATCGGTATCTTTAAATAGAAATTGCTGTATTTGACAGCTATAAGTCAAACTTTACATAAATAACGTGCAACACATCGGATATTATAGAGGTTCGTGACAGAGTGGTCAAAGCTCTATTTTATATGTTTTCAGGGATATTTCCGGAAAAATTTGAAGAAACGACTTAGCTAGAGGACGAGATAGGAGAGGGAGGAATACGCTTTATTTTGAAAGTTTACTTCGAAATTTTCGGCAAAATGGGGCTTCTTTCACTGTGGACGTAATATACGTTAACAAATAAAGCGAGAGTAAAAGGTTTACACATAAGGAACATCTATTACGGGACAGTTCAAATTTAAGTTTCTGTATTTCTGTCTCTTCACGCGCAAGAAAGCGTGCCAGGGCTGGTAATACAAAGTGCTGATATGCCGATGAACGCCAAAAGATATGTCGAAAGCTACGGCGCATGGGGCAAGAGAACTTCACAGTAATTGGTTCAGAATGTAGGGGATGGGCAGCGTCATCCAGAATTCGATCAGTAAATTTCTTGACCGTTTCGAAATGTCGTCATATGATAATATCAACTCAAGAGACAATAAACGCCGACAGCAGAAGAACGCATTAGAAGATTCATTTTTAAATTAACGTATTTTTTCAAGCAAAACAGAAAAATTGACGGCAGAACAGTAAAGAATGCAGACACCTTAAAGTCTCCAGATTAAGAGGTTATGTGTGTGGTAGGACAATAAACGACGAATTTAATATGGAAGTTTCCGCACTTTGATGAAAAAGGTTCGGTATGAAGGGAGAAATGAAAGATTTGACGACATAGTAACACAAAGGTGCCTAAAAGAGGATACCTTGTTGAGGAGACTGTCCAAGCATTCAGGACTAGGAAAGGGTCGCCGTCAGAAACCACACTAGGATGATTTCTGAATATTCAATAGGAGACCATTTTCCAACGTCCATTCGTAGACATGGTCAAGGCCATCCTTCAGGAATTGGATATGAGTTGGATTTTCGAGATGGCGACCAACAACCACATCATCCGCATATCTGACAAATGGACAGTCGTTTGGCCATCTCAGGCCATCAGAATGGAGGGAGAAGAGGTGAGGGGATAAGAAGGAACCCTGAAGAACTCAACAGCCATTGGGAAGGGCCGTAGATTTCCGCTTGTCCGACTGGACGAATTGAGTGCGGGAAGTAATTACCGAGCCAAGAGACAACCCAGTCTGGAGAGTCGCACGCGGATGTTTTACTAAAGAGGAGAGGATGCGGGAAAGAATTGAAGGCGGAGGTGTATTCAAGAAAAGCACATGCGTACGCACGGCAACCCTTATCCAGACCTTTTAGAACAGAGTGAACCAAAAAGGCAACAGCATTTAGGATACTACGCTTGACCTTTTATGCAAATTGTAAAGGATTGAAAGAAGTAGAAGGGAATTACCTTATAACACCTAGGGCAACTGATTTAACAAGCTTCGGCACTTGGGAGGAGCAGGCAATTAGACAAAATGATTTAGGACTAAATGAGTAGGAATGATTCCTACCGTACACCAGGCGTCAGAAATCTTGAACAACATGAACGGTATGCTAATAAGGTGTCAAAACGGGGGCTATTGGAGAACAGTAGGATTTAAGAAGAAAAGGTAAGACGCCACCCGCCTTGGCAGCTGTTGATTCACGGACCTTTTAAGGTGTTTATTCACTGCTGTCACAGACACAGATGAGAAAACACATGGCGGTTGGGAAATGTCATTTAAGGGAAGACAGGAGTTATTGTGACTAAAGACAAAAGTTTCTTTTTCACATCGGCATCCACAAGCGACGATCTGCTACAATGGCTAGTAAGATGCTTAAGATTCTTCCATATTTCAGCAAAGGAGAAAAAAAGAGGAGAAAGAACAAGTAAAAAGCCGACTAGTCTTAAGAAGAATAAAACGCAGCTGCACTCCAGTTAATTTGGCCGATCTTGCCCAAATATGGCTGTTGTGAATCAAACATTACCAAAGTCTTCCCCTTTCCATATGACTACGGCATTCCTCATTGGTATACATTTCTTTTCCTGGATTATCTCAAGGAACACATGCTTCTTAATAACTGACTTCGACAGTCACAGATTCTTCTTCCATCTAGGGTACTTTGGGCCGTCGTGTACACGTAAAGACCACTGTTTCATTGAACCGTGCGCGGAAAATGCTCAATGCGAAAACACAGATGTGGGATTCAGGTGCATTTGCGACGGAAAAGAAGGTGAGGCATGACGTCAACGAGTTTACTGTTGCTTCCTTATTAGAAATTTCCATGTCAGTGTTAACCCCTGCCCTGGCGCCTTGGGATATGCCAGACGACCTAAGTCGGGCTGAAATAAAGACACCTTTTCCTTTATAGATGTTAAGTGCTACGCCAGCTACAAGCCCTGCATCAATGAGACCTGCTCTGAAAACGGGGTTTGTAAGCCTTCACCTGGAAGCGCTGATGGTTTTGAATGCGAATGCAAAAGTCGTTGGAGAGGCAAACGCTGCGAACTCCGTCTAGATGCTTGCGAATATGAGGAAAGGAGACTTCAGGAGTTGAACGCAGGGGCAAAAACTGTTTGCCTAAATAACGGAACCTGCATCAGCGATCCTAACGGCCTGGACTTCCGGTGTCAGTGTCCTCCTGGCTGGGAGGGCAGTCGATGCGAGAAAAGGTCGAATCAGGTGTGAGGTGATTCTTTTAACCCCTTTTTCTATCCTTCGCATAACGTTCACGGCAGCCACCAAGCGTAGCTACGTATTCTTTCTGTGAACGGGCTGGCCAGCTCCGTCGGTTCCGAATATTGTGTCCATTTTTGCAGTGTCCTAAAAGCAGAGTTTGAGAATTTGTGTTAAATACCAAATGAATTTACTCTCAGGTGATGCACTTATGAAAAGTTGCTGTGCTCAGTCTTCGGCAAAACCTATAAAGTAGCCGCCCGTTTAATTTAGCAGGCTAATTACTCGAACAAGGTAAAGGTGCGGAGCATATAGAATTCAATGGACTCGAAGATTTAATGACCTCCTGTTCATTTCTGAATGGTTATTACACATAAAACCAGGGGCGCAGTAAGAAGACAGTCAAGCGGAATAAGTACACATGAGGCAGGGAATGGTGGTGAGGTGGGCCTAGTGTGGAGGTGGACGTTTGGAGTAGGCGAGTAAGTCTTAATTAGAGTGAAAACTGATCAGGTGTGTTGGTGGGTAGACTGCAGAGAACATGCCTTCTACCATGACAGTGTGAGCTGCATCGCATGGTTCAACTGCCTGCACAGTTTTGAACGGGATTACAATCGCAGATACCTTATTTTCTGACCTCAGAGGCCATTTAGGACACGTGAACGCATAGATACAGTCTGATGTAAGGTGAGCTTGCAAGACATCGTTGACCAGTTTAACTGGGTTAGCTGTTGTGTTATTTAAAAACAAGTTTGCACATGCTTCCCCGCCCTCGCCAAAGTTAGATTATTAGTATGTCCCGTGTCTAGGTTATAAATACAAATGTCGAGAAATAATCATTGAGACGATACCCAATTTTCCGCACAATACTGTGCAATATGTACATGTTTTTGAAGACTTTATCCTGTTAAGTTAAGGCAAAGTTTTCTAGTGGCTATGGAAACTATTTGATTAACTACGACGCCATCAGACCATTGCTCTGTCCTATCTCAATTACACTTATGGCAGTTTTCATTCGGCTACTTGTGAAAGTGCAATACCCAGATACAACGTATGTGGTCCACCGTGAAAGGCGTAATTGTAGTCCAATACTCCAAAGACATTTTGGCGAACATACGTCTGCTTTCGATAAATACTCTTCAAGCCTGCACATTTATGTTGCTATTAGAATAATTAATGACAAAATGCTGCAGCTCGGTTTTAAGGGGGAGAGAGTGATACACCAAAAAATGCAGTCGACGTCTGAAGGGTGCTGGGCACCGTGAGAGGTCATTATGCTATCGTATGAAATGGTGACTGAAACTCGGAGATTTTTTTCAATTTGGAAAAAATTACATAAGCACGGTTATCATGTTAATTGTCATGTCGCATGATGCCATCATATTCCAGTTACGACAGGATGCCGGCTTTCGAACGAGCTTCTTAGCGACCGCCTACATAAACCAAATTCCGTGAAAAGTTACTACTTAAGTTGCGTGAATTTCCCCATCGATTTTCGGCGCCCGTATAAATTCAAATATATTTTATGGAACATATAGACGAAAATATTCTTCGCTTTAGTGATTTAGGAGCAGACTGCATCCTCTTTACATGTTGTAGTTAAAGAAAGAATACCTAGCGGTTTTAAGAAACTTTCACAATTCCCGAGTAATTTTCGGCCCTAACTGCGGTTACAATTGCATTCATGGTTTCCAAAACACAAACTGTATGTTTCCGTGTGAGTACAATCCTAAACGTCTATGTGCTATTACGAAGAGGATATAAAGTATTCTTGAAATTTTGTAATGGATGTAGAGCACGCTATTCTCTTTATAAGAAGCATTAGTAAACGTGCCGATTCGATGCTTATGACTGAACATTTCAGAGCCATGAAAAACCGCATTATTAGAAACTTTTTAAAACTGAAGGGTACTCTTTCTTTGGATATAAAATTTGAAAACGACGTAATTTGCCACCAAATGACTAAATCCGTGAATACATTTGCGCATGTTTTCTATAACATATACTTGAATCTACGGAGGCATCGAAAATCGACGTAGAAAATGCACACTAATTAAGTAGCAATTTTCCACGCAATATAGTTTACACAGGCGGTCTATAGGAAACTCGCTTGAAGAACGCATCCTGTCGTGACTAGAATATCATTGTATTTTGCGACATGATAATTAACATGACGACCATACTTGAGTAATCTTTTCGTGTCGAAAACAAATTTCAGAATTTCAATCATAATTTACTGGTTGGTTTGGTAGTTTTGGATCATGACAACTGTGGGCCCTGTATGAAGTTCTTCTGTGTACACAGGACCGGTTTGCCTAACCCGATTGCAGCCGCCTCTGCCGTAACCAAAAGACGCTGCTCAAGTAATTTTGGGCGGTTTGACGCAACCTTGTAAATCACTCAGAAGACCTCCCTGGTTCCGTGTTGTGGCCCGTGTCTGCCATGTACGCGAGTATAGAGCTGTTAAGGCGCTTTCATTTAACCCCTTCCTAACCATGGTGTAAGATGACCTCTTATTCTTCTGGACGAGTGCTGACTCGTAGAACCAGTATATACTGCCCTATAGAAGCAGGCGAAGGAGCAAATACACATAGAGGTGGTCTGGGCTGGCAGTTTGTCCTTGCCCTCTCACTGTAAGATGGGACTAGCGGAGGACAGTCCACAAGCGTCAACTCCTGGAAAGGTTTGTTACACAGCTTGAGTTAGGTGTCTTCTTAAAGGTCCACTCGGCGCGTCCCCTAGAAACGGGACCTGATGAAAAGCTTTTACTTTCCTGTGGTCAGCATTTGGGGACTTTGGTGGTCTTTCGGCCATGTTCTTGACTAAACCCCAGGTACCGCATAATTGCCTACTTGCTCGCACCTTTTTATTCATTATTTTAATATGATTATGAAAGCAAATGTTTAAAGAAAGTTAGTCGAAAGCAAATTATCCCCAAATTGTCTTTCGAATATTTCAGTGAGAATTTTCGAAACCCTAAATATTACTCAAATATCCCAATTAAGGCATTCAGATACTCAATTTTTGGGTTAGGGGGCCTGCACAGTGCTCTCTTTATCGGACACGCGATAACGTCAGACATCTCACTGAGTCCCTGGCTAATCGCTGACTGTGTCACCTAGGATCACAAAAGACGGTACTCCAGACGCAGTGGGCCTTATTTTCAATGTGCTAACTAGATAACTCCGCTCTCACTTGTCGATAGAGTGCCCTAGCTAGAAGCCAAATACTTGATTCGGGATATGCGCCTCACAATGGATGGGGAAAGGGATGATCGGTTTCTCTACCTAGACGTCCTCGTCCGTTTTCGTATCGACATCAAACTGATAGGGAATCGATCGTCATTATGCGGATGCCTAACTGTCATAACAATTAAGTACTACAACCCAAATGGAGTTGCTTACACACCTTGTACTGGCGAGCGCAAACTCGCCGCACTAAACTAACTCCAAAAAGTCCGGCTAAAAATCAATCAGTTAAGAGGGTGTTAAGGACCGGGCATCTAGGAGAATTCGTTTAGATTAGCCGAATAGAACGAATCGGTTGGCGTGCGGAGATGAGTCAGGCAAGGTAATCACGAAGCCTTTTTTTCCGCGAAATCGTGCCGCAGCACCTGCTGTAGCTTAAATGTGAGTCACCCGCATTCTTGACATAAACTTCCGTTGACAGGCGATGCATCAAAACAACCTCGTTTCAGAAGGGCAGATGCAACTGACCCTCTATCGACTGCAATGGACAATTATATAATGAAAAATGGCTGACGATTGCAGGCTGGGATGCACCAGCCAGCAGTGTGTGTGTGCTAAGTCGCAGATAGCACTCTCTACTGTGTGGATAGTATAGAACTTCGTCATCTGAGATCAAGCCGGTTGATCGTAGTGATGGTCATGTATAGGGTGACTGGCAAGGGACATGCCTGTCAACCGAACGCCTGTCAACCGCTATATCAACCTTGTGTGACACTCATTTATGTGAGGAGAATGTGTGCACTTTATGGGTAGTACATCCCACTCGACGACTGTTTGGTTACCCAACATTGAAGGGTGACCCAGGCTAAATGCAGGACCACGTGTCGCCCTTCTAGCTCAAAGGCCCGTAAGCGTGTGCTACGCCAGTATCAGCAAACCATGGCCATTGCAGCCTACTATGTGCTAGCAGTTCACTGACACCTGGTTCTCTGACGGTAGATGTGCTTGCGCTCCCGCTGTATGTGCAAGTGGTGGGCATGGCTGCCCAGCCGTCATCGTCCTTCTGACCCCTGTTGGGGTGTTGTTGTTGTTGCCGTTGTTGTTGGTCAAAAACCTGGTCATTTGGTATGTGGACCAGGGGGTGTGGAGTGGAGCGCCAAGACGCGGGCTCGACCGTGCCATCCACCTGCGCTCCCACTCGGCTCCGGTCGTCTTCACTCTGTCGTGACACCGGATCCAGGTTGGGAGTGGGGATGAGAGAGTGTGGTAGATACTGCGCATTTCTACTATCACTATAAACTTATTCACTCACAAGTCACCGTGCCTGTTGCACCTTGGTGTGTAGCACACGGTGGACATCGTCGAAACCGACGGTCGAACTGTCGTATATCAACCTTGCTCCTGTCCTGTTGACTCAACTCAAGCCACTGTCGTCGGGGCAACGAGGTCGGTGGTGAAAATACTTATGGTTTTAGATCCACAGATGCTCACAGATGAAATTAGGAACTTGGCTATGGACAAACTGTGGCGCAAAGCCATGATTCTTATAAAGAGAGCAGTGCACTGGAAACGTTAATATCTGCAGATTAACTGCCGAGGTTTCTACCTGGACAGTCCGATTACAAATACAAAGTCAAAGTAAGATTACTTCCCGGCGAAATGGCACAAAATGGGCTATATCAGAAAAACTGATATTTCGATTGTAAATTAAAGCGAAGCAAATGATGCCGTTTAATTTGTCGAGATTCGCAAAGCCTGTCAATTTCCTTTCGTACAAGCTTTCCCTGGGGTAATTATACGGCCTACCGATATAAATACATTTTTAACTGATGCCACGAAATTAACAGAAATCCGCACATCGCACAATAGGCATTCACATTTTTCATTATAAAATTTGTATGCTAAAAGATAAACAAAAATAGCACAGCCAGTCTGTTTGTCTGTCTTGGATTCACTTTATTTTCTTTCGTTATATTCGAACGTTGTGTGATTCAATGACAGTAATACCGTATGCTTCGTAACTTTTTGGCGATATTTACTTCAGAAAAAAACTATTTTTAAGGAATGCCCTTGCCGAATTCAGTTAAATTCAATGAATTACAATATACTTTTCCTGCTCTACAGAGGCTGGCAATCTCAATTTCAAGTTCTATCACCGTCTTGGTCTGTTTGATGGTGATCGTTCTTGTGGCAATCTTTATAGGAAAAAAAGCCACCAGGAAACGGTAAGTACTTAAGGCGCCTTATTATATTTATGTTACTAGACTTAAACATAAAAAATCGATTCACAGAAACTGTCCCCATGTTTGGAGATCAAAAAACTTCCGTAATCCGAACAGTTAAATTCACTCATACCTACCATCGCCACTACTCCTGAGGACACTGATTTCGTAAATAAACTCAGATAGCTATTTCTCAACAAGCGAATGCGTGGCACCATACTGGTATATGCTACGGGTCCATCATCCAGTTTCATTCATTAAAAAAACTGCGCCCACATGCGTTATCTGCATTGGGACATCCAAGGTACATCCTTATGCGTCAACCTAAAGCTCCCCCATCACCCACCATCGACGCATTGGCTCAGAAGACAGACAGAGGTGGTAGAGAAATGAACTCTACTAGTACAACAACTATTGTGCCTACATCTGCTTTTAATCCCTCCTGACCAAGACGTTGCATTTAAAAGCCACCGCGTTGTTTAGATGCCACGTTCCCATTGGCAGACCCCTCTGTGTGGGGGAAAGTTTGAACGGTTCATGCTCGAGGTATTGACCAGTCTGTTAATTTCGAGAATTGGACTGAATATTAAGGAAGAATCTTTTTCCAAGGTCTTTCTTCCCAAGGAATACTATCCAAAATATATGTAAGAAAGTCGAAAGGGCACCTCTGTTCCCAGACGAAAATAAGAAACTCTTTTGAACTCAGAATACTGGATCATTATTCCGCGTTGGCTAAAATAAGATGAGGTAAACTGAGAGTTCGACCGTCGTGAACAATGATGTCCGCCGTGTGCTCCAGAGTATGATGAGAACAGGTGCGGTGACTTCTGCGTGAACTAGTTTATAGTGGTAGTAGAGCTGCACAGTATATAACACACTCTCTCCTCCTCCCCACCTGGGTCCCGTGTTGAAACATGGTCCAGAAGACCGGAGGTGAGGGAGGGCGCAGGTGGACGGCACGGCGAGTGAGACTGCACCTAGGCATGCCATCATGACATGTAGGCAACATTATGAAGGAGCCATTGTACTCTGACTCTCAGACCACCAGTCGAATACTCCACACATACGAATATAATTGGTCGACTGCGAGACCCGCGTCATCCGTCAGTTGGCAGCCTTTCAGGCCAAATCATAAAGATGAGAATGGCACAAATCAGTGAGTGACCATGCATACGGCCTGTATATCCAGCGGGAGCGCAAACTCACCCACCAACAAGGAATCGGGTGCCAGAGAACTGCTAGAGCACACAGTGCCGCGGGGCCATGGTTTGCTTAGGCGTGGCATAGCATACGCACACAATCCTTAAAGCCCACAAGGGTGAGACGCAGCCCTGAATGTAGCCTATGCCATCACCCTTCAAAGGCCGGGTAACCATTCAATCACCGAGTGAGAGGCATTGCCCATACATGCGTGGGAGTATCAGAGGTCACGTTAAGAACCAGTCTTTACAGCCTAACTCTCAGCTCATCAGTTCGCCACACCACACAAACACACACAACTGTGCAGACTGCGTGGACTGAGTTGAGCCATCAGTCGGCAACCTTCCAAGCCACGGCGCATGGCGCGACGTGATATTCTCAGGTTCGGATCACACATGCAGCAGAGGAGCCACGTGGAGAAGGAGCCGAAATGCACACATCCAACTTACGTGAGAGGTATCAATTGGATGATTGTGTTGAGCGATGATGGGCGATGTGGATGTTTTTTGCAGATGCTGATGAACAAAGTTGTGATGATGTAGTATGTCCTGCTGTGGTCTACCGCAGGTTTTCATGAATGCCCATTTGCCCTGGTAGGCCCATGCGGTAGCTGAGAGTGCGAAGGCAATGCAGGGCGTATGGTGCATGTTGGTGCTCGAGGCACTAGTTCGCCAGTCTTTGTGCGATGGATTCGAAAGTGACCAACCAGGCTGATGTGTGAAATGAATGTGCGATCGCAATGTGGACAGATACGAACCTAGTCCACATCTCTGGAGGTGAGGGTGTTGATGGAGATGATAGTAGATCACGGGACGTCGGGTGTAATCTGATCGACGGGGGGCGCGAGGGGTCGTGATGTTGGCGGAGCTGCTTGTTGTGGTCGACGCAGTGGTTGGCATAGGGCGGATGATTACGGTGGTTGATGGCGGTGGGATCAGCGGCAGTGTGACCATCGCTGACTGGGATGGTCGCCGTGGGGTTTGCAGCAGGGGCGAGAGTAGGGGCGTTCGTGGGAGTAGAAGTTGACCTTGACGTGTTGTTGGCGCATTGCTCCCGAAGTTGTTCTACGAGACCGATTTGACTGCGGATGTGCGTTGGCAGCGCGAGCATGTTGGAAGCGGCTGACTGTTGCCATTGAGGCGTCGAGGCACCTGTGACTTGCGAGCCTCCCTTTTGGCTTTGACAGCGGCGGTCCGATTTGTTTCGTAGATTGTTGCTTCGGTCTTCACTTCTCTTCTACAGGCCGGTCCTTCCTGTGCGAGGTCCCCCAGGTCTCCGGGCTGATCTTCCGTTGGTTCTTCTTCAGAGTGTCCTCGTAGCTGCTGATTTTGGCTCCTTGTCGACGAGCACCCCTGGTGACATTACCATAGAAGTGTTGTTTTGGCAGGCATATATGTTCAATCCGCGCGAGATGGCCGCTTCAGCGTGGTTGATCTTGCCTCAGCACTGCGTGAACGCTGAGGATTCTGGTCCGTTATAGGACTTCTGTGTCCGGGATCCTGTCTTCCCATCTAAGCTTTAATATTTTGCGTACGCAGCTGAAATGGAAGTGGTTGGGTTTACTGGCATGGCTGGAGTAGGCTGTAAACTATTGGACCTGGAAACAACGCGAGCCTTTTCAAAAATACGTGTAAGGGCAGGCAAGCACATAAGCGCAAAGCGTTTAGAATGAAATATCAATGCAGTATCACAATCTAGTCCACAATTATTGCGTCGCCAGTTGTCAGGCCGTGTAGAAGACGGACGGGTATGGTAGAAAAAAGAAATGTTCTGCACCAACCACTGTACGTACAGCAATTTCCAATTTCCGCAATATCACATGTGACAGTTGGCTCGCGGCTGCTCTCGGCAAGCAAGGCGGTCCTGCGGCGTGGTGTTGCCTACCGCGCATAAACGTCGGACAGTAAGACAGGGTGGTGGAGTTCCTGGCTTCCCGCAACAACCCCCCCCCTCCTCCCCCTACTGGGGAGCGGACGCGAAAGTAGTTTAGAGACGTGGCATGTGATGGCAACATGAAACATCAGTCAGATATGCTGACTGGTTTGGCCGGATGGACAGTTTGAGAAGAAAGGGGTAAGAAAGTGCTCACACTGCCATGGTCTCGAAATAACGTAGGCGACAGGCCGTCCTTATATGGGTGCTTTTTAATTGAATCTCTTACCAGCTTGATTTATAGTCATGACAACCACTTTTGCACACACACTTGCCCAACTGATTCGCCATCTGCGTTTGTGATCTTCAAAAGTATCTTTATACCACAATAAATATTAATTCCATAAAACATTAGGCGAAGCATAGTTTAGCGTACGTTTGTATTTGCCTGCACCGAAGTTTACACTGAATGCTAGAAAAGCTAGAGCTGCTCAGATAAATATGACGGCCATGTGTTGGGGCATTTTCATCGGTACACCTACTCAGCGTTTTCGTGTGATACAGTAGGCTGCCCTCAGGTCGTCTGGCTGCATTTGTGCTGAGACCTGTATTCACCATTCTTGACTATCTATTCGAAAAACCACTCCCGTTATCAGCAACACAGTCGGTATTCGTAAAGGAACCTTTCAGTTGTTTTCACGTACTTGGTGAGATGTATCACAAGAAGTGCTACATGATGCTGTAAGCCTAAGATTAACAAATTTTGTGAAAGCAATCAGAAAGCTGTGCAAACATTCCAGTTCGTAGCATTCTTAAAGCAAGAATTAACTATAAGTCATTTCTACTCTTAGGCTTCTCCAACATGGATTTATTTACTCTACTAAGATCGAGCAAAGAACCATGACAATGCCGGTCGGCGGAAACCGTACAGATCCTGATCAAAGATCCATACATATATATGCAGACATCGGCGATCCTTATGTGCTACCCACCAATGGTGGCCTGGATGTCGCAAATAACCTTACGCCCTCCTACCTTCCAAGGCAAAATTCAGACTCGGAGTCTCCTCCCGTCGTTCCTTTGAGGGCCCTACAGAAGGAAGCACAGCGGAATGAACGCATTTCTTCAACCGCTGGGGTTCGTGAAAGCTCCCAACACTGAGACCCCACCGTACTCTTTTCTAATAAATAAATTGATCCGCATTGCCGTGAAGAGTTCTGTGGCATCAACAGAGCTATTTAATATAAGTACGTTCCCTCGCTAACTGTAGCAAATAGTAAGTGCCGGAATAGTGTGGAACCATACCCTTCGGACTTCGGAAATCGCGCAGGCGTCGCAGCAATTAAGGGCACTGACAGAACTTGACACTAGGACCCTCGGACCAAGTCCCAAGTAGGGGCAGGTAGACGCCCGTAGACTCTTTAAAGGGGAGGAGGACTCTGATGTATTATTGTAGCAGATTGGCAGGCTGACACCCTACACGACCCTATATCCGTCCCTCTCCCCCTCTCTCTTCACGTTCGGAGAACTGCTGGTAGTGAGTGCGTGCGTACAAGCGTGCGAGAGAGAGGGGGCAATGCTCCAGTGAACTCCGTCCCCCCCACCGCATTCTAGCACCCGAACGCGTAGCTTGCGGGCGGCAAAGACAATTCACGTCTTTGCACCACTGACTAGTTTGTCGGATGTTCCCGAGCCGAGATCTCTTGCGATCTGTTCGAACGCGACTCTGCTGTCCCTTGCGGCCTGCGGAGCGATAGTACGCAAACCATAGATGAGGCTGGCACAAATCGTGGACTAGTCCGTAAGTGCCTTGTCGTACTGCTGGACATTCATACTTTGAAACACTCTGCTTTAAGACGTCGTAACTGGAAGAGCAAAATATTAGAATAGCAGCCATCGCTGAAGGACAGGGTTTCCCTGCATGTTCCGACTCGCAGGCGGCTAACTACATGGATCGCCGTATATAAAACTGTGATCGCGCATAGTCGTATCGCACGACTAGACCATAAAAGTCCCTGTCGACTTTCAATGTTCACTTTGCAGGTGATACTTCTAAAACCGGGGCCATAATGTTTGCGTAAAGCAAGTTTTTTAATCGATTCCCTAGCCCCTATTGGTTCAAGTTCCATTAGTCGTTTATCAGATTTTGCAATAGTGTCGCAAAATGGCCGCATTTGCGCTCGTATAGACACATAACATATAAACTAAATGCCTAAAATTGGACATCGAGCGCACGAACGTGTCTACGAATGGATAGGTAGCGTAGCGTGGTTTGCTCGGCTTTGTGCAGGGGTTTTGTCGACGGATACAATTGGATGTGATCCTTGTTTGTCGGCGAATTCAAAGCAGTCGGCACTATGCAGCATCGTAAAAGGGAAATATGGTGTTTTAGGCAACAGTAGTTGCGGAAGATACGAGGTGGTCCAACGTCGTTCAGTTCCTGCCTTTGCATCCATGTGCTCGTGGCCTACTGATGGTTGCATCGAACATTCAACTGCGAGTTTAAAATGCGATGGATGGAGTGGCACACCAGAAATACGTGATTACCGAGATCACCGTATTGTCTGCATGTTTCATCACCACCACCACCATCCATATTCCCAGGTAGTTACGAGACTGGGATATCCGCAGTCAGTTAAACATCTACTTAGCTCACCTCAATATTTCCCCGACCTCTCCGTTTATTGGCCTGTTGCGTTCTGCAAAAGCCATCTGTAGATGGCAATTACGGAATTCGATTGCAGAGACTATCTAACGGATGGTAAAGTGCTCATCCATACAGGAGCAGCTTTGAACAGACAGAAGTGACAAATGATGGAGGGTCAATAGTGTCATTCTAAGTATTCACTAGAATTAAAATCGACCATTGGCACCCCAACTGACTTTTGTTAGCAACTCTACCCCACAGGCCAGACTTTAGGTATCAGTAGCCTGTGATGGCCAAATAAACCGAAATGCCCATTCAAGTGCTTTGCCATTGTTAGCAAAACTTCTCGATCCTCAATCATGAGTCACAGTGGGATAGGCTGCGTGTGCCATTGATTCTGAGCTGCTAAGAAAAACAGAACCATCCATTTCAACCTCACAATCAGGACGGATCGGTGCACCTGACGATCATTCGTACGGATAACTTGCATAAATACGGATCATGAGCTCCTTGTTCTACTGATTTTTTGCGTCTGATCACGAGCTTCTTTAGGGACTGTGTATTTACTATCAGCCTTTAAAAGGTGACCTCGGGTAAAACAGTTCGGTTTAGATTGGGGCAGAATAGATGTCCACAATAACACAGGGTCTTTTGCCCGCTGAAGAACCCAAAAAGCATCTGGTAGTGTTGCGACCGTCAACGTCCCCTTCTGGAAGCGTTTTCTTAGTGCAAGTATTTTCGAGACCTCCGCAGCTACACGGACCCCCTACCCTGCTCTTAGAATACACCAGCTCGTTCGTTTATTTTTCACACAGGGATTCTCATCTGAAGGCTCCTTGCATGCGTTGTTTACAGGCTCCTTTCAAGGGGTGGTGCAATTCGGGAAAAACTCAGGAAAAATGCCACTGAATATACTTGACAGCCTTAATCACATCTTGCCTCCTCAAATAATCTTCTTAATTCCCGTTTAACTGGTGGCAAAGGACAGATATGTTCACCGTTTAATTCTGTGCGATTGAGGCGTGGGGATTTATGAAGCCCCATAGTCATAAGGATATTTTCTCAGATCGGAAAAGGGGGAAACCGTATTCTAAGATAATAGCCATGCAGCGGCTGATGATGTTGAGATCGGCATACAGTCGGCCCAATAAAGCACTCAGAAGTTGTTTCTTTATTTATGGAAACGTCGAAATGATTCTTCAAGTATCTATCCAAACACGCACATATGCATATAGGAAGAAAATAGTTTGAACTGTATGGAATCTTTATTGCGAGAAATAAATGGGCTGAATAATAAGGAGGGGTTACAGCAATACTAGGGGAAATAACCTTCCGTGAACAGTCGATTCGTCTGAGGTGGAAGATGGTCTCAGCATGTCCATTAGTCTACTGGTGAGAGCGCAGCCCTGGGGATAAGTGTAGGGGGGCTATCCGTGGGAGCTGTTGACGTTAAACGAGCTATAATGAGAATATCCGGGGAATGTCGATTACGGGGGAGGAAATCGGCGATTGCGGAGAAAAGTGACACCGGCACACGATCCCAATGTTCCCATTCTGGTTCAGCGCCGAAGGTGCTTTTAACCCGTTCGAACAGCGCAGTCAGCCTGATAATGCGTTACAGACTTATTCAGAGGTTTGTTCACCAGATCAGCAATCGCCCAACCAGCACATCATTAGGAATTTGAAGATCCTTGGAATCTACGCCACGGCGAAATTTGTCACGGTCAAGCAGGATATGGAGTTGAGTGAAATTGTGAGTTCACATAGTTAAGCTGTAGTTTGTCCCTACGCGCGTAGATATTGTCTGGTTTTGTGCTCGTTTTCTACGAATGCTGCAGAGTTAATAATGCTCGGTTTTCTATCGCATCCTGCCCCCAAATATTTAAGGACTGATTTGAAGGGAACTCTTTAAAATATAATGATCAGCCTAGATTGGCAGCGGTTTTTTTTTCCTGTTGTCGGACTGGCACGGAGTGGACCAACTGTTAAAGCCCTTGTCGTTGATCCCACCATTCGAACGGCGTTAGACGTGACCAGAAGGTAGGAGCGACAGTTAAGATCTCAACAGATGGCCCCGTTTAGCCTGGTCCCCTGAAGACAAGCAAAGAGAGGCAGTTTGCTCGGAAGATTGTTGAATTTACACAAGAAGCCCACCCACAACACCCGTATTGCAAAGACTTGCAGTACTACTAATCAGTCTTGCTAACAAAATAGAAGATGGACGACCTCTCGGACCGGGCAATGCCTCCCTCCTGAATTCCAGTTTGATCCAGTGCTTATTTCTGTTCTCATAGGGGGGGGGACCAGCAAATCAGTCGACGTACTTGTTGCGGAGTAACCGAAAACTGCATTATCGCATGGTCATGCTCTGCGTTAATTTCAATTTTGAGACTATAATGACGATAGTTCTTTGTTCTCAAGCAGGTGCGTCACTTGTCCACGTCTGAAGCTGTTTATCTGCAACACACGAGATTAATTCAGTGAAACCTTCACTTTTGTGTTGAACCTTGGCCACTCTCATAAAGGGCAGATGATAACCTTTTGTACTCGGTGAAATCATAATTTCCATGTTTAATCAAAAAATACATAAAACGTCCCAAATCCCTCTGATATTCCGGTTGATATATTGTATCCGGTTTGACAGTGGCCGAGTTCATGGCGACCTGCCTTAATACCTGCAACGTTCCCCAATTCAATACACGTACTTGATGATTTTCCGCAATCTCGCTGACGACTACAATCTTGAAACACTCCAGAGTCTTTGTGCTAGTCTACCGTACTCTCTCAGCCATCGTGTTCTTGTGCCCAAACATATTGGTGTCTTTTATAAATACACCTCATGGTCTCGAGCGCCCTAAAAATCAAAAGTAAAATGTGACATTATTTGTGGTCTCGATTGGAAATGTTAAACCTCGTAGGGAAGAGTATGAGATAGTTCTCCTTAGGAAAGAAGGCAATGGGAGAATTACGGGCAGAATTCGACAGAAGAATAAATCCGGGGATCTGAAAGTCAGGAACGAAGAGGTGACTTAGATCGGAGGATACTTTCTATGGAGCAGTCCCGTAATAGAAAACGACTCCGGACTTTTCATTCGCTACGAATTATGCCTGCGCATGAAAACAAAAATTAGAACTTCTACTTAAAAGTTATTCTGAAATCTATCCAGGCCACGCGGAGTTCGCCTTACGCAGGGCATGCAGTTGGTGCCGGAAGACCAATGGACTTAGGTCGTGGATGGGAAATGAGCACAAATTTCTCAAATGCGGTCATGGGGAGGGAATTTCCTTGTCTTAACCAACCAAACTATCCGATTCCAAATTAAATGCCGGCACTAATATTGATGGGGCTTGTTTCTGAACAGGCCGGACCACTTTTCTATTTCCCAACAGTCCTGTTATCAGGAGTTCCTCCTCGTATTGGAAAGCGACCAACACATTAAAGGGGATGGGTCATTTACAACTGATAATAACTATAGGCTGGCGAATCTGACATTTCTTGCTTAACTATGGATATGGTCATAGAAATTGCACTGAGTTGTGCCTTTAAAAATACGACCCCGTGAATGCCTGATATATTTTTTTCCTAAATGCTACGTCTGTTTTTTTTTAAAAATACAACAGCGGGTTCTTGTATTAAAAGAAGACAAGATTTAATTTCACTTAAATGGACTTAAAAAGACTTTCGACAATATTTTCCATTGTCGTTTGTTCTCTAAGCTCCAAAGAAATGAAATAATAGGTAGTCAGCAAGCCTCAATAGAAAACTTCTTGACAGACTAGTCGGCGCCATTGTGCATTAAGGAGCCGAAGCCAATACCAATGCCGGTTTTGAGAAACGTTTACCAGGATTCGGCTCCCAGGTCATTACTGTTCTTCCTTTACGTCATCGGAGGTAGTACAGGATTTAACTTTAACCGCAGCGTGTAAATTCTTTCAGACTTCAAGAAACCTTGTGGCTTCAACAAGTATTACAGCACTGAATTTCATGACGCGTCCTTGCTGCTTGGGGCAGTTTTTGAAGAGCATGTTATTGGAAGATATAACAGACGCATTTAAGTATAAATACTGCCCACATTAACTTAGAACGAGTTGAGAAACACCCCAAAAACGTTGTTACGCATCACCCCGAACTGTGTAGTTACAAGGACATTTTGGGCACGGAACGTTATATGCTATTACCAAGCGCTACAGGGCCGTAAAATGAAAAAAATGGACTAAATTCCAGGGAGCTGTGTGGGGCAGTCTGTCGTATCCCGTTCCCACATATCCCATGTAAATATACAAGTCTTGCTAAACGAATGTCCGAAGTGCTCATAAACCAGCCTGATTTGGCTCTGGGACATGACGGCAAATGATCGCAAATGGCTGCCAGCAAACTTAAAACGGGTCAAGAGTTTAAATTCTCAACCGCCAAGTTAATCATCCCGGCCGAAAACAATATAAAACTTAAACTTATTGCAGCCTGGGCCTAAAATAGGAGTTCTGTCAGTCGATGCATCGATTTGGCGTTGGCATAGAGTCCTGCCAGTCACCTCAATATGTGCGTCACTGATTGTTGACCGGTGAATACCTCCTGTAAGTGCAGCCTGTTTTGCTGCTGTTATCTCTGATGATAGGCTCCTGCTCGAGTTCGAAAGATCAAAAATAAAAAAAATTGTTGCAATGATTTACAAGATTTTCACTTCCTTATACGTACAGTTCGAACTCGGACACTCGCCTTCTTCCGTTTATTTTAACATGCTGAACGCTAGGGCTGAAAATCTTATCAGTCTGAACTCGTAAACCAGAGATACGCATACAACTATTGTGTAATTCGCGTTCACGGTAAAATTCGCGTAAAAGTGGTTTCCGTTGCCCAAATCCGCCGACTGAATGTCATGGCTGCATTATTTTTCTAGGAAAGAATTTAACAAGAATTGTGAGCCAAAAATAACGTAGTGTATTCTATAAAGCAGACGATTCATTCATTTCCGTCAATGCATTAGCCAATTATTAATTATTAAAAACGGGTATTTGTTCACTATCGTTGTTTCGGTTCACAATCCAGACTAGAATAGATACGTCATGCAGGGCTCTATAACTGCGTTTAAAAATAAAGTAAGCGATGGAGCGGTTAGGATAGATATAAAAGACCAACTTTAGGCCGACTGAAAAAATAATAAGATGCAATTTTCATGCGTCACTGAAAAGGTGGTGGCATTAATAATAATAATAATGCTGGATGTCAGTTTATGGGTATTTGTAGTCTTTAGTCCCTCTGCATGATCCCTTCCAGAAGGAAACACTTCTTCTCCTACTATCTGTCAGCAGGCCAGTAAATACTTTAGGCAACGAAGAAAAGCCGCTCACCAAAAATTGTTTACCCTAAGCTGCTTGAGATCACTTCCAGATTACGTTGGTATAAGAGAGCCCTGTCAATGTTTTCCCTTTCGAAACCAGTCACCTGTCCACACTGGTAACTGGAAGATAAATATGAGTAAACCGCGAGTCCTGATGATAATTCCCCAAATAGCGGTCTAGATATTCCATCCGGTTCAGGAATTTTGCCTTATTTAGTTTGACCGATGAATCATCTAAACTATTCATCAGAAAAGGCAACAGTTTCAGTGATTGCAACGACTTAGTTAATCTCGAACTCTGAGTTGTTTTTGGGAGTTTCGTCGTAAACACTGGTTTGAAGATTTCCGACATCAGTTTTACTTTCTGGGCCGCGTTCGATACATAGTCTCTAATGCTATCCTTAAGGAAGTAAATTTTAGCAAAGTTCTTTATGTTTCCGCAAATATACCCTCAGCTTCTGTTGCCAGCGTCCTCTTGCGGATGTTCTACCATGCCGCATTTGCTTGCGGCGTCCATCGCACAGCCAAATGACAAAGGATTTTGAAATGGCAATTGCTATTTCCACAAAGTTTTTTGCTTTTGCGCTCATTTCCATCATTCAGTTAACCTACAAGCGTCGAGGATAATGCTTTATTATCTTCCTGAAAGAATGTATTTCAATCAAGTACTCTATAAAAGTCCTGAGAGAATAATGTATTGTCCATGCCAACTAAGGAGATTTTCTTTAAATCAACAAATTTCGTTACGCCTAGATCGCCTTTGAATTTAATAAATCGCGGTGGAAAATTGTTGATCGTCTTCGTCCGACAAATATTTCGTTTGATTTGAATTGTGCTGTCACTTCTCATTCTGACGTTTGTTTGCTCTTCCGCCCCCATTCACACGCATCCTATTTTCCTTCTTTGGGTGCGTAGTCTAATCGTAAAAGATTTCGGTGTGCGTGGCTCTGTAACAACAACCAAGCCTCCGACTCGGTAACTGGAAAGATCGTTAAGGATCTTTGTCGGAAACAGCGTAATCGTCAATGGAGTCTTCCCTATCTTTTATAATTTGTGAATTCTGAGTTGCCAATAGTTTACAGTAGGGTTTTGGCCTATTCATGGATTAAGCCATGACCGCAATGCGTTGTATCCTTCGCAATTATGAACACCGAAGCTGAGAATCTATTTGTTAGTAAATTTTGTATGTGATTGAACTGAAAGTCTGTTATAGTTACGTCACATATACAGTTTGGTCTTTCCACTGGTTCACGATGAAGTGGTCACTTGGTTCACTGCGCATGATTCCATCAAAATGTGGTCATCTTTGCGGTAATCACATCTACCCCAGTTTTTTAAATCACCCGCGGCAAAAGTCGCTGTCCATTTTACGAGGATTCTCGGTTTTCATGTTTTAATTTGAATTTCGTTCACAAGACGTGTTGCCTTTTTTCGTGGGACGTCTTTGAAAGCGTCCATTGATCTCTGCGGGTTCCCTGACAACGGCCTTTCGGTTGGTTTATATTGTGAAAGTAGTTATATTGTGCACCTGTGTGGCTTACGGCAGTGACGCATGTGACGGACTTCCAAAAATCCTGCTTTTGCAGAGTATGAACAGATACATTTTGTGTCTAGATGACCATAAGTTGTTCAGTCATCACACCAGTCAATCCTAGGTTACGTTTTAATGACTCCGTTCACTGTTTCTTCTCCTTTTACATATTATCCTGATCAGCGGTATTCTGACTTTATTCTAGGCGCGTGTGTCCTGGATACTTAAATGTCCATAGACCTTTTATATGATCTTCTGGATATTAAATCTTAATTTATTCAACGAGGACCTCTGCTATGTTAATGAGAACGTCGATATTTGCCTCTTTTTCCAAACTCGCAATGTGAGGTCAAAATACTAATCATACTGTGCATTCACAAGCTTATTTGATCCATTCATGCGCACCTTTAGAGTAAATGATGGGAGAACAAACCTCTATTCAGGGTCGGTGGCCTAGGTTTTGCTAGGTTTCTCTGGAAACGACTGCATCATTTCCGAAAGAACTTTCGCACAGAAAATGAAAAATGGTTTACGTGGGTATATTATGCTATGTACATAAGATCAGGTTAGTAAACGTAAGAGATCCAAATCGATATTTGGAGAAATGTAAAGGGCTCATCGGATTCCAAGCGTAAGACTACACGTTTGTCTATATTAAATTTTAGAAGGGACTTGCGGGTCAGACGATTAGCCTGTCAAATCTCTTTGAAGTTTCATCGTACTTTCAGCACGGCTGTTTGCTTTCCAGATTTTTATGTCACCAGGGAACACTGGGATATCGCAGTCAAGATGCTGAATTTACTTGCATAGATGAGGTAGATAAGAGGATCTAATACCGAATGCTGCGTGAAATCGATTTCTGCTGGTATTCATTGAGATGCTGTCGTGTCAGCAATTACTCTTCACCTCCCTGACAACTGGAGACTGTTTATCTTTTTATAAATGCTGCTTTGGATTCCACACTGCCAAATATTTTTTAAACGATGCCGATAGATAGCCCCGACTCTTGACTTTTTTCGCTGTTCCTGCAAATAGAAACACTCATAAGACAAGGATGACCGCAGTGTAAGCCATGCTGGTCAGTGCATTAAAGGCTCCTTCGCGCTAGGGAACTCATTAATTCCTTTTAATAATTCGCCATATGACGTTGTATATAGCACAGGTTTGGCTAATGAGGCAACAATTTCCCTACTCAAAAACCCTCTTTTGTTGATCGGGGGGAATAAATGCAGATTCTCCTCCCCTGGAACTTCGCCTTCTTACGTGGACCTGTGTCGAGGTATCAGACTAATTGAGCTTTGACAATCCTGTCACGTTTCCTTTAATGTACTGCTTGCTTTAATGTGACGGACACGACAATGCATGTCAGCCACGGCATCGTTGGCGTATTCCACAGTCACGTAGTTGGACATTTCGACTATTAGCTATACTAACCTACTGGATATCACAGTTATTTGCTCGCACAGTACGCTGACTAGTTCTCGAAGTATTTGACTTAGTAGGCCTCAATCGAATTATTTTGTATAAATTAATGCAGGAGTGATGCGAATATTCTCCACTAGCGCAGCCGATGCAGGGTCCTATCGCAGAAGAAGGATTCGTGTTATGAGCAAAAAGCGAATGGAAGGCATTAGAGAAGACGGATGCCTTTGTTTGGTTATTTGACCTCCGTTACTGCGTTCTAGGATTTTTTCTCCAGAATTGGGCCGCGATTTCCTCAGAACACGCCGAATTTAAAAATAAATCTACTGAGAAACCAAAGGTTCCCTAAGATTGAATAAGACGGAAGGCGCGAAAAGGATACCCCACGCTAGCAATAAAGGCCAATTAAGATATGAAAATCAGGGAGAATGGGACAGAAGCAGAATATCACTGACAATTTTCCAAGTCTGTATTGATGAGAAAATGCGAACTTGCACCTCCCAATTATGACTTAGTGCATGATTCAGCTTGAAAGACTGCACATTTCTGAAAAGCTTGTTCGTAGAGAGCGCTTAGTACTAAAAGAGTCAACATTGCAGGGCACAGAAAACATGTCTGCACTATTTCTACAGAAATCGGCAAATGAAATAACCAACCCGCTCTCTGTACTCCTGAATGTCCTTTTTAAAGTCGGCTTGTTGTCGTCGATTGGAAATCTACACTAATCACACCGCTTTAACAGGGAATCAGGAAGGTCTCCGCAAGTAAATGCAAACTTAGTAGCCCCACTTCTACCCGCTGCAAAATTATAAAAAAATAATTAATCAAGAACTAATGCACTTTTACAACAGCAAAATTCGCGCTATGATGTCCAGTATGCATAAAAAAGATGCTGGTTCTGTGTAGTAAACATATTTTAGAGTTTAAAACGCTGAGCTTGAGGACTTTATGAAGAGAATGCGATTGATGTACTCTCGATAGTGTATCTCATCAGTTTCTGCCGTAGACACCCAGCCAAGAAGGCGTCAGGGCTAATTTCCGGAGGTGGATTCACAGCATCCTAACGGGCCAGTCTCAAGTTTTCCATGTTGATGACCAGCAGTCGGCGGAGGTGGCGACTGGGAGATTAGAGGCAAACACAAACCTACTCGTTCAGTGTGAACACATGCAAAATTTTCGCGGATGAGCGGGGTCAGATCTTAAAGTCGCAGCATTTACGTTTGCACGACGCCCCCTTGCGAAAATTTAACATTTTGAAGGGCCTGGGTGTGTTGACCACGACTGTACTTAAGTTACCGCCCAACAGTCCAAAGCTGGCCAAGTTCGAAATGTCACTTTTGTCGCTGGTCAAGCGGGCTTCCGTAATCTTTGATGAAACCTGTTCGGATAAAGCCTCTGGAACATTTGTGCGGTTGCAACTGGTGTTGGCCATCCAGGCTCGTAGACCCTGAACAGTTAAAGACCGCAGAACCTTTGAAAAAGTTTAAAGACAAGCACAACCCAACCAGTTAGCGGACCGGCCTCACTCCCTATGAACAACGCTTGTCTAATCTCTATATTTTCATTTGAGTTACAGTCACGTAAAAGGAGACCTCCGCATCGCGTTTTTTCAGGACTTGTGCGTAGTGTCTAATGACTTCTGTGCGTCGGCAGCTATATGATATCTGCGGAGGTGTCCATTCAATCTACGTGTGACTGGTACTTGTCTGTGTGCACGGGAGTTAGTATTCGCCTACAAAGTACTTGATGCTTAGGCCGCTTTACCTGTGAATGCTATTATGTCTAAATTTAAAGACGCTTTTAAGGTTAAACTTGAGCAGTATACCATCGCACACCATAGGCCATCAATACATTAAGAATACTGGCCTCCTTTTCGACTGGAGTTGTGCTGTAGACTACGGTTAACCATTCATTAATGTATGGCCTACCACTGCACTTTTTAGCATAACGTTAATTGAAGACTATTATTTTCCACCTCCCCCTCACTGCACCACCTCGCTAATATTTACATTGACATGTAACAACGGCTGACTTCGTCCTTCACCCTCAGTAGTTTACTCACACCTAAACTGACTATTGTACTACGGATTAAAGAAGGTGCAAATATTGATAGGCGTTGCGAACGCGTGGAATAGGCCGTGCTTCTGTATATGTTAGCGCTTTTTTTCTTATGAAAATTTTAATATCTTTTTGTTGTTTTCAGCAAATAGGTAGTAGAAAGATGCGCACCCACAGGTCTTTCAAATAAACTTAACTGAACGCATGTAACTGTAATGGACGTTGGGTGTTTCAGCCAATTCTACAGTACGTTTCGTTACTAGTTCCTTGGAGGTCTGTAATCTTACCTCAACAATTATTACGTTGTTTCTCGTACCGTTGAAAATATTCATTGCTGCCGATTAGTCAGATACTCATCCACAACTTATTTTTTCTCTTATAGAGGGCCAGAAATTCTCGAATTATACACACCGGACAACTGCTTGTTCTGTTTCCCTGAGCGGATAACCAAGGTCTAAGATCATCTTTCTTGCAATTATTAGCTACAACTTCTAACACAGCTGTTGACTATTTTTTGAATTATATCAAAGAACGAGTGACGTCGAAGTGTACGTGAACCGAGCAACGAATACTGTAAATAGTATCGACAGAATTATATACGGCGGCTAAATCAGAAACAGAGTTAGTTAACAAAACTCGGGCATAATCTTTGCAGGGAAAATGTATAATGAGGAGGTATTATATATGTTTATATCGCGTTCATCATCTCCCGAAGAAGAAGAAGAAGAAGAGAGGGCGAATTCATGGACCGTATTGTATCCGAACTGACGTTTTGGAAACTTCCTCGTTTCCGTCATCAGTGTAGCGTACTTGCGTATATATATATCGAGGCAATAATTTCAGAAATTAAGTGGGTCTTCCAACGTTCTGCGTGTGGTTTCTGGTATGTACACTCTAGGAAATAATCAAGCTGCGCCGCGCAGCAGCAGAAACATCGGCGAACCATGTGTTTCGGCTTTTATCTTATGCCCACGTCGGGTGTACAGCATAATCATATGTCCTATAAAGTTATATTGATAATAATACTGCTTGCTTGTGAAATGGATATTACTTCGTCATTCCGCAGTAGTTCATTATATTCGACTCAAATATTCATTGAAGTTTCGGGTCTGCCCCTAAAAAGTCATGTCTTAGGCACATAAATCTGTCTTGCACTTAATTTCCTAAATTACTACTTTGCTTATTCTCTGGATTTCACATACTAGGAACCGCACAGAGGACGTTGGGGGATCCACAGAGGAGTTGGACTCCTCACACCTGCGTTGTGTTTCAGCATAAACATAGGCGAAACACTGTCTAGACTTTTACCTAGCGTCTATCCCCGGAGTACGATAGAACCATCCGTCACATCGACAGTTCGGCGTCGTGACGGACGATATCCACTTTGTGCTTTACAACAGTGTGAGATTAGATGCAGTGACTTGTGCCCGATTTCTCTCGTAGTGATAGCAGACTTGTTTTGAGTCTGCCGCGTTCTGTCCTCCTCCCCCACTTAGATCTGGTGGAAAGGCAAAGTCAAGGAGACCGAAGGTGCTAGAGGGCGTAGATGGCTGGGACGTCGAAAGCCAGCACGTAGACTACCGTCACACCTTCTGGTCCACAACGCACAATGATCTGGATTGTACGGCGAGAAAAAATTGACAGCTCGGATTCCACTGGATGGGAGTGCCGTAGAGGCCGAATTTAGACGGCATCATTGCAGCCCGACTCGTGTTTCACCGGTCGGTCACCCAACAGGAACAAACTGGGCTTGTGACAGTTCGCTCCACTGATCATCACCTCTCTGTCATACTGCCCTTCCTTCCGCCCTAAACTCCATGTTAATCCGCTGCTCGGACCGCGCGGAGCTTTGCAACAATCAAGTACAGCCGAAAGACCGACACTTGTTTCAACCAATACATGATGACTTCTCCTGTGGAAAAGGCGGAAGCGAATAATTCGCATTGACTCAGCCAAGACCGCTGACTCGTCCACTCGATAAGTCCTGTCTGAATGTTGTTTTACATTTGTTTTGCTGTCATCACGTCATTCCTTTGTTTGCCAAGTCCAGATTGCCATGACTAGCCATGTTGACCCATATGTATACACGTCCCCTTGAATCGATCTTCCCTTTTTGCTAGTTTGCGCGGGATATCTCGTTACGATCTCCACCATCTTTCATATACGTTGTATATTTGGTTGTAATCAGCCTTTTTATCACTATACTACTACTACTACTACTATACCGCCACTGGTTTTAAGATCGGATTATTGAGACTATGTTTCAAACGATGGATACTTTGGGTGTAGGATGTCAAAGGAAGCCTTCGATTATGAAGAAGATAAAGTTGTGTACGGCCACGAAAGAGTCTTCGACTCCACTCAAGCCTCCTACGTTGAACGTTAAAGTTTGTCACTGGCCTTGCGAGAGCTCGAAGACAATCAACGCTGTTCCTTCGTCGATTAGCTATAGGCGGACACAAACGGGACAGACCAGAGGTGCACGGACGAACTAGTGGCTAGGAAAACCTTAGGCGGACACAACCACCGAAGAAAGGCCTGGAGAGATAGGTTGCGGCAGCTGCTTACCAAGCCTCCGGTACGCTCTTTCACAACGGTAAAGCCCGTCCAACCCAATCCGTCTTCCCTGATTTGTGATCAGGGAATCTTCGTGTTGTCGGCCATTGGGAATTCTCGTGTCAGCCCCCATATCGACAGGTTGACTGTGAGGTCCGAGTTATCCCGTCAGTTGACAACCTTCCAGTCATGACTTTTAGCGCGCTGTGATAGATTTAAGCGCGTCAGATTGTATGTGGTGAGGAATACGCGCTGAGACCGTTGACTCCACTCTCTCTTTCCACTCCTAGGCACCAGCCTATTGCCCGAGCTGGTCAGGTGCCTGATAACAGAAGTAGGCGCAGTGATTGACAGAGCTAAGGAGGTCGTCTTCGCATGCCGCATGCACCATCTGGCCCCCCAAAAGCACGCAGAATGATTACACATACACAAGAGAGAAGTGGCTCGGACTTCGCGCATGTGAGAGAGTGACATTAAGAAGGAGCCATCGCAATCCCACTCTCACTCCACCAGTCGACACAAGCACACTGCTAGGTTGACAGGTTGGTCTGAGTTGAAGCGTCATTTGACAACATGCCAAGTCACGGCTTTTGGTGCACGATGAAAACCTCAGGCACGTCTGATGGTTTATAGTGTGGAATTATGACGTTAGACCCAAATGAGCATTAGTTTCATTCTGAGGAATTTACTTATGCCAGCTTGAGGCGTTTACAACAGCATATTCGTGGAATGTTAGGCCCACAGCATTCAAGGCCCTGTCTTCTGAGTGACAAATGGTAGTTGCGCCTTCTAACAGAAATCATATAATTTCGTCAAAAACATCTGCCTCCGACTGCTTTCGTGTCACCACCGCATTCTTCTGATGTTATACACAAATTAAATATCTACCAGTACAAATCTTGCTCCTTAGTTCCGGCATTGGTAGTCCCGGTGAACATTCTACAACCGACGACCTGGACGGGACATTAATTCACGACAGAGCACTCTTTTTTCTGACCCAAAATCCACCTGTAAATAATATTCTGATAGAATCGGTAACAAATGCACTATATAATTAGTTCCAAAAGACGACAGGAATATATCCACAGAAGGTATAACTTCAGGTTCGAGAATAATGCAGAAACTTGAACTGCCCTTCAGCGAATAGACATAGTTATAACTCTATTAGCTTAAAATCAGTTATTAATTACGCATATCAGACGTAAAAACAACACAGGGTGACGTATAACTTTACCGCGGGCGTTGAAACCAGCGATACCAACCGCGCAACCTGCACAACAGATAAATGCCCCAAAAATGGTCCACTAAAACGAAACAAACTAATCAGGTCTCCCAAGGACTCAATTATTTCCATTAGGTGAAACCTAAAGACATTTTCTGTGGGGATGGATGTTTAAATAGATATGAATAGCATATTCGAGTGAAAAAGTGGCCAAATGAATAACTAAAACACACGTAGAATTTCTTCGAAATCTATGGGCTCGTGGCCCGTCTACCACCGTCTTGATCAGCCTAATGACGAGTCCATGCAAAGCGGGGCCTATCTTGTGTTCTCACATTATAGGTGTAGGCCATCAAACTCGCTCACAAACAGACAAAACCCTGACGGCTGTTCGTTCACATAATCACTCGTCTCAGCAGCTGACTGTTTTTTTATTACCCTCTTTGATTAGCGTCATCACCCTCTCCGCCCGCCCTAATGTTGGATCGGCGCTTTTTATTTCCTTTGGCTATTAGATTCTTTTAGTACAAGAAAATGCTACTGTTTAACTGTTCGATGCTTGACATGTGTACGATTCCTGCGATCCCAGTTTCTGTGAATTTTTGTAAATTGTTCCATTTTCGTCAGCAGTGTTTCATTATGCTACTTTTTGATGTCATCGTCCCTTTTCCGCCCCTACCCCGTGCTCTTTCGCCTACTCATTATGCTCCCCTCTGTGAACGTAAACTACTCCAGGACTGTTGCGCTAAGTCATGACTGGCATATGATTCACCTTCGACAGCCGTCCCACAGTATCCATCAGATCAGCACCGCTTTAGACATGCTCCTAATTAAAGCATCTTCAACAGTCCCTGATTTTTGCCTAATTAAAACGTACGAAATTCTTGTTTGTTTCAGTGACTGGATTGTCTAGTTCGAGGGTTATTTTTATAAGCCTATTTTCGAAAGTCATTGACAAAGTTTCTGATGTTCTTAGACAAAGGCTAAACGGCGCTTCACCGACCTCTGAGCACCGCCCGATAATTCACTGGACATTTTATGGACGGTGTTGGAAGAGCTTTCCGGTCTCCAATATCCTTCTGTCACCATTTACAACCAAATCTGTCTCCGCATAAGACAACCTGTAGAGGACTTTGCGCCTTATAGTGACGCCCTATTAAGCCCCGGCGGATGCATCTTCCCCTGCACTCGGATTTCTAAACAATTTTTCCTGGGTTCGGTTGGTAATCCTTGCTCAGAGGGCGTCTAACGGGAGTTTCGTATTTGACCTCCCACCTTCCTGGGCGCAGCCCTCCCAACTGTGTGGGTTTTTAAGTCAGCTTCATCGCAGTGGGACACTTACCGTGTATACGGTTTTCCACCCCAGATCGGGGCGCTGGCAGCTGCTGGACTATGTTCGGAAGCGAGGTCGGTGAAACGTGTGGCCGATGATTAGAGGGACCATCGCCGCGTCATCTCCAAGTTGAGGCTCCCTCTGCAACCCTTCTGGAGGCCACAAGTTGAGCTTTGTTGTCTTTGCCTGTTCACTGTTTGCATTTCAGCAATCTACAACCCTGCGACTGGAAGAATTGTCAGCGGCAGATGGAAACGCCTCCGTGGAGACTCGGTGGTGCAGACTACGGGACGTCGTTCATTCGACCGCCCTGGTTGTCCTCGGGCGCGCAGGTCACCAGCACCGGGACTGGTTCGACGACAGCGACGTAGCCATTGGTAACTTGCTCGCCGAGAAGGACAGGCTGCACAGAGCCTACCTCGATCGTCCAAACGACGCGAATTAAGCGGCCTTGTATCAATGTCGCCGCCTTGTGCAGCAACGGTTGCGAGAAATGCGGAACGCCTGGATGGTTCGCGAGACCGAGGAGATCCAGGGGTATACAGACCGCAACGAATCAGAAAACATCTTTTCTGCGGTCAAGGCAACCTACGGCCTCTCACTGAAAGGAACCGCGCCGCCTCTCAGCTCCGACGAATTAACGCATCTGCCGGAGAGGTCGCAGATTCTGATGCTCCGATTGGAGCTCTTTAGAGACATCCTAAACCGTCTCCCCACAACCTCCGACGCCGCTATCGAGTGGCTCCTCCAAGTAGAAGTCAACAGCGAACAGAATCTTCGTCCTCTCTTTCAGAAAATACCCGTAACGTACAACAATTATCCAGCGGGAAAGCACCGGGCTTCGATGCGATCCCAACTGAAATATACAAACAGGACGGCCACCTACAGATGGACCAAATCCCGGCGCTACTTCAGAAGATGTGACGCTGTGAACAAATTTCTCAGGATGTTAAGGACGCAACCATCGTCTGTCTGTACAAGCGCAAAGGCGGTCAGCTACTCTGCGACAATCACAGGGGCATCTGACTACTCGACATCGACGGGAAGACCTTCGCTGCATAGTCCTGAATTGTCTTAACGGTCATCTAGAACAAGGACTGCCGCCGGAAAGTCAATATGGCTTCCAACGCCACCGGAGTGCCACCAATATGATATTGGCCGCCCGCTGGTTATAAGTGAAGTGTCAGCAGATGCGGACTCACCTCTACACCGCTTTCGTAAGTATGACAAAAGTCTTCAACACATTGAACCGCGAGGGACTGTGGAGAATAGTGCATAGGCTCGGCTGTTCATAGCGATTCAGGCACATGGTTCTTCAGCTCCAAGATGGAATGATGGTCCTTTTCACGGGCAACTGCGCAATCTCTGAGGCATTCAATGTGACCAATGGAGTGATTCAAGATACGTACTCGCGCATACCCTTTTCAGCGTCATGTCTGCCATGCCGATGGACTCCTACCGTGATGAGCACCCCAGGATCCGCAGCGACTACAGGGCAGACGGGTATCTTCTAAACAGCTGACAAATGAAGGCCCCGACGCGTCTCTTCACAACTACTATCCACGATCTGCTCTTCGCTGACGACTACGTACTCAAATGTACGACCGAAGAAGACATCCAGCGGAGCACGGACCTCTTCGCCTTCAGCTGCGCCAACTTCGGGCTGACCATAAATAAGACAATAGATCGAACCCCGAGGCACAACGGGACGACGTTGCCTCGTACCCTGGCCAGTGGGTACCACTTTATCACCGTTTACATTCCCGATCCCAAATGATAGGAGAACGGGCCCTTGGCTCTATGGTAGGGCGTTCGACTCAGTGTCCATAGATTCCGGGTTCGAACTCCAGTTGCTCCGCACATGGGATTAGCCTTTACTGGTTGATGTCGGCTAAAAAGTCAGAAGTGACCATTTCGGTCTCCTTAGTCTTTTTCGGTACTCCATTATCTACAGAGAGGATATTGCGCACAGTGGCCCGCGTGGTTTACAGACTGCATAATATACGCCACATGCATTTACGGCGCTTGCTAAGAGCCAACGCAGACTTGGCGTTGTCGGACTTGTGCACACAGCGGAAACATGTGGCTGCCGTCTTGGTCTCTCCCAGTTGTACTGCATCCCTTTCTTTTAGTGTAAGACCAAAATGCGTGCATGCTAACTGACTTCAGATATTTGCATTGAATCGCCGTCCAACGAGTCGCACTTGTTAAAGCGTCGAACGCTTTTCTACTGGCCAAAACTTAGTAACCGGTTAATCGTGGATATTTTAACTTGCCCACGCTCACTGATTCTGAAAATGGCTAATTCATACACCATATAGCCTCTTATGCGACAGCTTTAATGTGTCGTGCTCCACTGCAATCGATAGCATAAGCGCCAAAAACAAGAACGGGAGTAAATTTGGATTAGACTTATGCATTGGCTTAACCCCACTGCTCATTCACTAGCATGTTTCAAGGGCTCACCTTAACTGTGAGCGAAATTCCTTTCCAGCGTGATTTAAGACCTTCCAAACACTAGAATATTTTACCTTGTCTTTATTCTGTCTCATTCAACCGGCATTGTCAATGAGTATAGTATAGGCCAATTTGTGGACTGAATTCTCACAGCACTTTCTCGCAGACGAAGATCAAGTAAACGCTATCTTACTTGAGGGGTAATTTAGGGTTGGTTTCCTAACATAGGGGATAATCCCCAGGTTTGCTAAAGTGGCTACCAAATATTCTTACCTTGTGAACAATTGTATCGGTTTTAGCTAGTAGAATGTAGTCTCCAAATCTAAATTTCCGAGATTCGACCTGCCAGTATTTTCTTGTAATTGCCTATTATGTGATGTCAAAATAAAAAGCAATTGACTTAATATACTATGACCCCTATGCGTAACATGTGCCTTTCATTATCATTTCTTTATTCGTTATTTTTAGACAATTGAAACAGACTTCTACTAAGGATTCATCTTTTGTGCCGTATCACGGGCTTCAATAAGATACAAGGCTTTTTTCATAATATCCCCTTCCCATGGTCTGCTCAAAATACCGTTCCATCGATAACATCTTCCAGACTGAATATCAGTTGATTTTTCGCTGTAATTGGCATCAATTTTTTTTCATGAGATGCTCTTTTTAGGGACTACTTTTGAAAGTGGTGACAACGACTGTCGAGCCTTCCTTACCGGATGATAATGCAGTCGATCCGGTCGATTTTCACCTACAAGTGCACGGTGAATAGGTCTTGTCTGGTCAATTACGCTACCATATTTCAGACCGTTTGCCACCTGCTCCCTGTCCTACCCATGTAACTCATAAGACAAACTTAAGCACTCCAACAGAAACAATCCACTGCTAGCGGCCAAAATGCACGAGTTTGCGACAAACCACTACCCAGTCGGCTTTTCCTGATAGCACCTAAATGCCACAATATAACATGCAGAATATGGGGAACAGCAAAAGAGCTTACCACAAAGCCTCCTCAAGAGTTGAGCATCTGCCCTATATCCGACTACAGACCGAACGTTTTTCTGACATCTGCGGCTGGGAAAATAAAATTAGCCTCCTTGATTATTCCACGCACAGGAAATGTGAAATTTGGGCTGAGCCGTTTATCACGGACTGGCGGCTTGCCACCCCTGTCCTGACCACTGCTAGAGGGTGCGTGAGTCAACTTCTAATCCTCAAAATTTAAAAGACGTGCGAGCATCAGCGTCATTGACAACAATCGTAGTACAGTACGTAAACTATCTCACGAAACCTGATAACGGAAACTGATGCAAAACTTTCTGGAGTCTTTAACGTTGCGCATTTTGCTCGCTCATCCACCTCCTGCAAAAAATTGTTTTGTCGTTTAGAAAATTTTAACTGATGTCACATAAATGACTAGTGCCGAATGGTAATTTCCAGTTTTGAACATATGAAACACTATCTGTCGTATAGTTTAGCTGTTGTACATAACTAATTCAGAAACGGAACAAGCAGAACATTAATAGCTTCATCAAAATATCAGCATTTATATGGGTACTCTGTCATGCATTCATAAGCGAAGAAGGGAGTCTAAAGGCGAGCAAAAACAGTGCAAATGACGGCAGTATATAGAAAAAGGCATGTTTTTAAGACTGCGGTTAAGAAATATTCGTATTGTTTAGGAATGTGCAAAAAAACGGCCAAAAGTGTCAAATATTTTTTCGACCCCATCGTGCAAAAATGCAAAGTCCACAGGGATCCGTCAACGGAGTGCAGTATGAAAGCATTTCTTACAGAGATAACTTATTAGGGAAAGTTTACTTTTTGCTCGAAGGCATATTCGTCGCTGTCTTTCGTTGTGCTTGGCCATTTTTTCAAAAATAATGTTTGATGCTTGAATGAGTTTTCGCATGTGAACCAAATGACCTTCTGCGTGGAAAGGAGTGCCCAAACACTCGTTAATGTAGTAATGGCCTTCAGGAATTACCCTACTTTAAAGTTTTCAACAGGCAGGTAATTCAGTGTCTGTCTTTATGGACGATCTGGTAAAAACACTGAAAATCATGAAGTATTCAACAATACTTCAAGGCCGATCTGAAACTCAGAGCAATCCAAAACGAACGAAAAAGTTAAATTGATTTAACGTAAGAAAAGTCCTCTCTGCAAACACAAAATGGTTTGTTTACGATCACGCCTGTCAGTTCTATTTAAATTTATTAGGCACCGACCGGCCTCATGGCATGTCACCTGATGAAACTTTTGTTCCTACGGCGTCCCCATCGGTGAAATCAAGCAAAAGATCGCTTCTCTTGTTGAAACCCATCTTATTCAACTAAAAAGAGTCAACAATAACACGAATTCAGTAAAAACTGTTTTGGAATCTATACTCAGAATGCAGGTTATGGAAAAACCGCCATATATGAGATCACACGAATTCTTAAACGATATTTAGGTGTAAACTTCGCTGAAACACTATAATTACACTATTATTCTACTTCATATTTATTGCGTTTTTGTTATGAGAATACACTCTATACATTTAAAATCGAAGTTTACTAAATGAGAGCCATTTCTGACGTTTTCGAGATACTGCGCTTTTCTAGGATAAATCGGCATTTCTAAACAACGTTATACAGCTTTTAAAATTTCTTTTATGTTTTAGGCCTTTAAAACTAGTTCTTAATTAACACAGATATTGGACTCATGAAATAGTGTCGGTTTGCAAGTGATCGGCAATCCTCCGTAACTTTCGACACCTTTCGCGAGTCAGGACACGCACTGTACGTTGCAGGGGCCGATGCCAACTCCTCATTTCCTGCTTATAAAAGCAAGTTCTTTACCGCAGTCGGCATGCACTTACAAGTCGGGCTCCTCACCACAACCAGTCGCTTTTCGCACGGAACTTCAAAGAAGGAGCGCACCAGGCCGGATTTCCTATCCCTGATGTGCCTTAGACTTTAACGTCGGGCGCAATGAATAGAGCGTTGC